CACACACACACACACACACACACACACACACACACACACACACACGAATCTAGGGGGTGAATTTGCATTTGCAGGTACATTTTACTTTGTTTGAAAAGCACACAATTAATAGACAGGCAATATGGCATTTTATAAATTCCTACTTTAGAAATAAAACAATTCTGACTCCAAAGTAAAACACAAACAAACAGACTATAAACAAGGTTTCACAACCAACATGCATTGTCTGACCTAAAATTCCCCTCTTCTTTACACTGATAAAACCTTTAGTTCTCTCAAGACCGTGACTTGAAAGGAATTCAGGGATTTACATGTACATATTAATCAATTAAAACCTTCTACAGATTAAAGATTTAACAGCACCTTAGGTTTGTTTAGTTCATCCTCATCAATGGTGTGAACCTTTGATCTTTTACTTATAAATTCTGTGTCTGATGCTACCTCTCTCACTAACACCTGAAAAAGGACTGACGCTCCGAAAGCTTGTGTTTTCAAATAAACCTGTTGGACTATAACCTGGTTTCGTGTGATTTCTGACCTTGCCCACCCCAGTCCAACACTGTTACCTCCACATCATGGATAAGGTGAATAGCAAGGTCTTTTCACCAGGGTGAGGGAGTCCAAAACTAAAACAGTATCAGTTTAAGGTGAAAAGGGAAAGATTTAAAAGGAACCTAAGGGGCAACTTTTTCAAGCAGAGGGTGGTGCAGGTGTGGAACGAGCTGCCAGAGGAAGTGGTGGAGGCTGGTACAATTACAACACTTAAAAGGCACCTGGCTGGGTATATGAATAGGAAGGGTTTACAGGGATATGAGCCAAATGTTGGCAAATGGGACTAGGTTAATTTAAGGTATCTGGTCGGCATGGACGAGTTGGACCGAAGGGTCTGTTTCCATGCTGTACAGCTCCAGTCTTCAAATGTTCATGATATTATGAGCCATTTGCCTGGACCATTAGCCACAAGTTACACTTAGAATAATTTGTAACTTTAACAGAGATAGAGAATTTGCAATGTTGGGTTGATTCCTATTATACGCAGCAGTAGAATTTTTCTCAATTCGTTCTTTAAAAGGCCACTTCACTGTCTAACAAAATGTTTTGACTCATTGGGTAGCATGCTAGAAATCAAACCCTGCTATGCCCAGAGTCATCACAAAAGCTAAAGATTTTATACAGTACACTAAGTTCTCCAATTTACTTGACCTTCAGACCCAGGTTGATAGAAAGCACGGCCAGGTTTCTGTACTGAATGAGAATTATTATTTATTTGAAGTAACTAGACTCCATAAGAAATTCAAGGGTGAGAAGGAAAAGACAGGAAAAATGGAATACAGAATTGTCAGATCCGTCACAATCTCATTGATGGTGAGACAGATCGATGGGCTGAATGGCCTACTTCTGCTTCTACATCTTATGATTTTATTATGGACATGGTTCTTACAAAAGAAGGAAATGTGAAAATTTCATTATCAAACCTCTCATAGGATTTTTGTTAACATGGAATCACATTGTCAATGTTATCATCTGACATACATCCAGTCTCTCAACTAATTGATAGTTTCATATTTAAGTATAACATCATATATTAATTGCCAAAGCTAAATTGTTATATGAATCCTTTTATGTTCATTGTCTCTCCATTATTCACAAATCCTTCCCCTTTTTCCCCATTCACACCATGTCATCTCCTTTAAGATTCACAAAAATGAACCATAGGAATAATAGTCAGATCATATAGTATTGCTAGAGCATCAGGAAAAAAATCCATATACTTAATTTTGCTCACCTGCTAATGACTGGCTTGTAATGATACCAGAAGAGGAAAGAGTTCATCAGTCTGACTTTGTAGAAAAGCAAAGTACTGTGGCACATGAAATCAGAAATAAAAACAGGCAGGGCTGGAGAAACTCAGCAGGTCTGGCAGCATCTATGGACAGAGAAACAGAGTTAATGTTTTGAGTCCAATGTCATTCTTCTTCCAAACTGAAGTGAGTTTAAACTTTGTTGATGTGTGGAAGTTACTTGGCAGACATCCGTTCCTCTGAACATTGTCAGTCCCACAATTTTATTTGTTGAGATTTATGACTTAGAATTAATATTAATATTGAGATTTGTTTCTGTTTAGCTTGATTTCAATTCAAAATGGATTAACGCTGACAAATAGTCCAAAGATGATTGAGAAAAGATGTTGGTTCCAATCAGCATACATAAACATGTTTGAGATTATCTGGAAGAATAAACTGAATCAGTCAAATGCGGGAAACTTTGAAATTTTGGCTGGTTCTTTCTGTGAAAATACATTACCAGTGCGGAGTGGAGAATGCACAAAATTATGATGCAGACAGGATGAAGCTGTTTGTTTGATCTAAAATCAGGTTTTTCTCTTACAGTGAACACAACTGGAATATTATCTCCAGGGAACACAACAGGTGCTGTAAATGTTATCTTGGCAAATATTAGAAATGTAAAAAACATTTTTGCAATTATCTAATTCCAAATATGGGATCTCTTTACTTACTGAAAGGACAGGACAGAGGAGATTCCTCACTCCATTGAGTCTTTAAATATTACTTTGAATGAGCTCCTTGATTATTCCAATATCCTGGTGTTTCCACATAAACAACAGGAAATGGTTCCTTTCCCAGTATTTATTCAATTTCCTTTTGACACTTACTTCAGTAGATTTGTCCCTGTAAATGTCGAAAGGGAAACCTACCATATACAAATGGACCGTTTGACATCTTTTGCAGGGAACATTGTTAGCAATATGACCATCTCACCTGGGACAGCGAATTACAAATAATTTGTTGAGGGGCTACACTTTGAAAATTGCTGTACATTAGAGGACAATTTTGAAATTTATTTATATAACTCTACAAATGTATTTAGCTCCTTTTCACTAACACACATTGACAAGTTCTGCCCAGTCTAAATATGCTGTCAGTATCTCCTTTAAGATGCATAATAATGTAGGGGAAAATAATAATAAAGAGAGAAATTGTCAGATTCAGTGACCTCAGATTCCATCAATATTTCAGCCATTAAAGTCTCAACAATAACAACTTGTTGAGTAATTTCTCCTCAACCTCCTGAGCATATGTATGCTAATTATCTTAAATCTATAGATCTTGGATATCTAGCATCTTGTCCAGCTCAGTTCTCCAAACCCTTAATCTTGGCACAATTTGCAACTTCAGCACAGCTGGACAATTTGTGCTGTCAGATTGTTATGCAGCAGGTTTTTCTTTAATCCATCACCTTTGGACTGTTTCTTTAAACAGCTAAAAGGCCACGGAAGTAGTGAGAACGTCCATCACAACTGCCGAGAGATTCATTGAATATTGCACTCACACCTTGTTTACTCAATTTTTGAGGCAGAAAACAAAAAAAAACACAAAATGACTTGCCCTAGTAAATGACAAAAACTTACTCGTCATTTTCTGAAGAAGGGTCTAGGCCCGAAACGTCAGCTTTCCTGCTCCTCTGATGCTGCTTGGCCTGCTGTGTTCATCCAGCTCTACACCTTGTTATCTATATTGTCACCAACAATTTTTTTTATGAAAAGCTGCGCTTGAATTGTTGGACAAATTAAAAAGTAATGTCACAATCAGAGTGAACATGTTGATCATCTGATCTGAAATCATTTACTTCTTTTACAGTGAACAGCACAATTATTACGACATCGTCACCTCTACAGAACACAACAGGTACTGAAAATGTGCCCTTTGGAAATATTTACAACAAATTGAGTAATTGCGTACCCAGGAAATGACGGTAGGATTGATCAGAGAATCAGAGAGGAGAGAAGCAGACTCTTGTGGCACAGAAGAGCCAGGTTCAAGTCCCATCTCCTCCAGAGATATATCTCAGCCTCTCTCTGAACTGGTTGATTAGAAAATGTCTAGAACCAGGCTATTTCCCTTGTTGTGCCTGTGTTAGCTCCTGATATTCAATCTGTCACATTGACCAACGCTATCCCTATACAGCTGCAAATTTTTCCTTTTCTCATTAAAGTAGAATCAGTTTCTATCTTTTTGTTTCAACCACCAAAATCCAAACAGTATTCTCATTGAGTAATGGGGTTAAAATTGTTTCAGAGATAGTAGGAACTGCAGATGCTGGAAAATCTGAGATAACAAGATATAGAGCTGGATGAACACAGCAGGCCAAGCAGCATCAGAGGAGCAGGAAGGCTGACGTTTCGGGCCTAGACCCTTCTTCAGAATGCTGCTTGGCCTGCTGTGTTCATCCAGCTCTACACCTTGTTATCTCTCATTGAGTAATGTTTTCTCAACGTCACTGGCACTTATGCCAATTACCTTGAATCGAAACAACCTAGATCCCCAGAATCATGCCAGTGATTAGGAAGTCTGCAGTTATTAATTCCCCTTTTCTGATAAGACTATAACCTGCATGCTCCCTCAAAACCGCACCATCCTGACTTGGAATTATATGGGCATTTCTTCACTGTCACTGAGTCAGAATCCTGAAACCCCATTTCTACAGTGCTCCTGCTGTACCTGCCTCACATGGATGACAGCCCATCACCACCGTCTCAAGAACACTCAAGGATGGGCAATAAATACTGATCCAGCCACTCCTGCTCATTTCTTGTCAATGAATATGAAATCAAATCAAATCAATCTGCTCATAGTCTTTATACAGACAATTCCTCTGGCGATGTTGCCACCTGATCTACAATCCATCTCAGAATTACTTCATAATTCTGAAATTGATAATGACAGCTATATATTAATGAACAAACCTTGGCATATATTTAGTGATTATAAGAATCCTTTCTGTTCACTGTCTCACCATGTGCAATTATTGACAAATCCTACCCTTTTCTCTAATTCTGTTTCCTCATCACTTTTAAATTTCAAAGAGTGATAGTCAGATCGTATTGCCTTGTCACACCCACCCTCCTTATCATTGGTGCTAGAGCATCGGGAAAAGATGGATGTTCTTAATAGTACAGAAGCAATTTGTAATTTGTTGTGACTGACAGAGAGGGAGCAGGGTGCATCAATGTGAGTTTATTGTATGTTGATGTGTGGTAGTCACTTGGAGAACAGCCATTTCTCTGAACATTACATTCACCAACTAAAGTCATGTGATTGGCAATGACCTACAATTAATAATAATATTACTAGTTTGTTTCTGTTCTGGCTGGTTACACTTCAAAATGGATATTTAGCAACAGAAATGCAAATTTAACTTGGAATAAAAATTAGCATGAACTTGTTTGAAGCAGTGAGATGGAATACTTAATATTACAATCCTGTATAATTGGAAACTTACTGCATTATTGTTACTGACTTGTTTTTTTGTGAAAGTAATTTACCTGTGCATGATTTACAAACTACTGCCACAGAAAGGGTGAGACTATTGATTGTTTGATCTGTAATTGTGCCCTTACCTTTCAGTGAATGGTACAGAGACAGAGACATCACCACAAAACACAACAGGTACTGAAAGTGAGCTCGATAAAATTATTAGGATTGTAATACACCAGATTCTGATATTGGAGTTCACAACCAGCACAGACTGTTGATATAATTTAGACGAGAATCATTGACGATAGAATGAGGCTTTGATTTCCACTGTATCCATCAGCTGTTCGAAAGATATACAGTAAAGAAGAAGAAATATATTGTTCTTTTTATTTCTTTATAAATGATGATTTTGTTTAAAAATGTACTGATGTTAAGACAAATCCACATGTAAACGGCTTTGGCAGCAATGGTTACATACCGGGGTATGTGTTGTGGGTATGTTATAATAGCAACAGCGAAGAATTCCCAACTGATCAAATTTAACGTGTTGCTTGTTCTGTTATGTTGTTGGAAATTTACATGGGCAATTTACATTTTCATATACAAGTTGCTTTTTGTCAAATGTGGAGGGCATTTCGTATATCACAAGACCTGAGCTTTTTGTTGTACAAAGCTAGCTTAATATTAACTGTTTACGGTGAATCCACAAGTTGAGTTTCTTTCAGTACAATACACGATAACAACTCTCAAACTATTTATCTATCTATCTGTCTATCTACCTCGCTATCTGTATGTTGGAGTGCCTTCCAGTTCCTATCACATTGTCAATTGTCAAAGGTACTAGAAATGTAATTTCTGGGATTCTAAGGCAGTGCAAAAACATGACGGGTGATAATGAGCAGTTTCCTGGTGGCTTGTCTCATCAGCATCTGTTGCAACTTGCAGAATGGTTGTGCTGATCAACTAGCCTCTGTTTACATGGAATTGTTTCTTTTGCACAAGGTGCCTCCATAGTCAATGGCTATGCTCTTTCTCAACCCTACATTCATGCAACTCAGCATCAGCATATCTTCGTGCTTGTTGTTGACACAATATCACCATCAGTGAATAACTTTAACTGCCCAGAACTTGCAGCTTCTTCAAAGGGCTTCGAGTTTGTATTCAGGATGTTTTGCACTGCCATGCAGCTAGACAATATATTGGTCCTCACAGTGGAGAATGCGGGGCTGCAGGCAGCCAGTTTCTGTCGGTTGACTTGTGTTTAATGCACAAGAGTGACAAGTAGTTTGTAATGGTGGGGAGCACTCAAGACTAAATGTATCAGATAGAGAGGGGGTGGACAAGTCATGGTGTGGCATCTGGTACATCAAAATCAGAGCTGCAGCAATGTGCCAGCAGCTTCGGCAGCAAACCAACAGCAGGTGCTTGCAGCAAAGGGCGATGTGTAGAAGTCCAATAGGAAGAATGCTCGGTGTGGTGAGGGTTGGCTCCAGTCAGTACGAGAGCACTGACTGCCACGGTCAGTCAAACGTGCTCTCCCAACTACAGCTCAGCAGGTTGGGCTCTCGGAGGCGATCGGTGTCATGCAAGCTCAAGGATCCGAGTCCTTGCAATCCAGGAATGTCAGCCCTCGAGATCAGGTGCACACAGTTCAGAGAGTACAGTGTTGGACCATGATCAGTGGACTGCCAATTCAGAAAGCAGCAGGGTGGGGAAGCTGCAGCGTGGGTCTGTCATCGGGGGGTGGGCGTGTGGTCTCATTGTAATCAACAAAGAAAACCTGACACAGGCAACTCCCTGATGAAGGGACTAGTCTCTAACACATGAACTGTTTTATATTTTACTCTATAATTCTTAAGTAAAGATGAAGACAGGGTAAGAGTTTTGGTCATCTAATCTGATATCATGTCTTCCCGGCTTTCCAGCTCCTAGTCCATAGCCTTGAGGCTTACAGCACCTTCAGGTTTATTTTAAATGAGTTAGGGCTGTCTTCATCAAAAACCAAACTGGTATCAATGTTAAACCATTGACAACCTCATGCCCTGGACTTTTATTCACATTGCACAATTGGAGGAATTTAAACATTCAACAAGTTTAGACAACTTGCACAATCGTACAGGAATAATTAAACTTCTCAGTTGGTTTCCATATCCACTGATGTTGCACAGGTTTGAAAAACACCACTTCAACAGAATTGCCCCTGTGGATGTTGAGATAGAAACCTACCATATACCAATGAACTGCTTGACAGCTTTTACAGGAATCACTATTACCAATGTGACTATCTCACTTGGGACAGGGAATTACAAATAATTTGTTGAGGGGCTAGACTTCGAAAATTGCTGTACATTAGTGGACAATTTTGATATTTGTTTACATAACACTACAAATGTGTTTAAGCTCCTTTTCACTAACATACATTGATTGACAAATTCTGCCCATTCTAAATGTGCTGTCAGTATCTCCTTTAAGGTGCATAATAATGTAGAGGGAAATACTATACGAAGAGAGAAATTGTCAGATTCAATGAACTCCGATTCCACCAATTTTTCAGCCATTAAAGTCTCGACCATAACAACTTGTTGAGTAATTTCTGCGCAACCTCCCAAGCATACGTATGCTAATTATCTCAAATCTATAGATCCTGGATATCTAGCATCTTGTCCGTATATACAGTCTCCTCCAGCTCAGTTCTCCAAACCATTATACTTGGCATAATTTGCAACTTCAGCACAGCTGGACAATTTGTGCTGTCAGATTGTTATGCAGCAGATTTTTCTTTATTCCATCACCTTTGGACTGTTTCTTTAAACAACTAAAAGGCCACGGAAGTAGTGAGAACGCCCATCACAACTGCTGTGAGATTCATTGAATATTGCACTCACACCTTGTTTACTCAATTATTGAGGCAGAAAACCAAAAAAAAACACAAGAAATGACTTGCCCCAGTAAATGACCAAAACCTATTTGTCAACAATTCCTTTTGTGAAAAGCTATGCTTGAATTGTTGGACAACTTAAAAAATAATGTCACAATCACAGTGAGCATGTTGATCATCTGATCTGAAATCATGTACTTATTTTACAGTGAACAGCACAATTATTACTACATCATCACCTCTACAGAACACAATAGGTAATGAAAATGTGGCCCCATCCCCAGGAAATGAGGATAGGATTGATCAGAGAATCATAAAGGATAGAAGCAGGCTATTGGGCTCTTGTGGCACAGTGCAAGTGCCCCTACCTTAGAGCCAGGTTCAAGTCCCACCTGCTCCAGAGATCTATCTCAACTTCTCTCTGAATAGACTGTTAATGTGATTTTGACAAGAATCATTGATGACAGAATGAGATTTTCCAGTCCATTGTAACTATCAGCTGCTTGAAAGCCATGTAGCAAAGAAGAAGAAATAAGTTGTTTTTTTTTTCTTTATAAAGGATGATTTTGTTAAAAATATACTGGTGTTAAGAAAAATCTACATGTAAATTACTCTGGCAACTTTGGTTATATGCAGGAATACATGTCTTGGGTATGTTATAATAATAATAGCTCAGTATTCTCAACCGATTTAATAATAAGGTATTGCTTGTTCTGTGATATCTGCTTCTCAGGAAACAGAATCAATCTAATACCATCTTAAAACAATTTATGACCCTCTGAACTCTACTGGCTTTTGGAGCAGAGAGTACCAAAGTCATTCAGTCCTCTGAGAGAAAAAGAATCTCCTGAAATCTGTTTTGCAAGGGAGGCTTCTAATTTCAGACTCCCCAACAAAAGGAAAGATTCTTTCCAAGTCCTCCTTGTCAAGATCATTCAGGAACCTGTACATTTCAATCAATTAACCCCCTCATTCTAACCTCTAGTGGAAACATTCTGTCCAACCTATCCATGTAAGATAACCCACTCAGTCACGCTATCAATCCAATAAATCTCTGATGACCTGCCTGCAGTGAATTTTCATCCTTCCTTAAAGGACCATACTCTATGCTCAAAGTGTGGTCTCAGAAATGTCCTGTATAACTGATGTGTAGTATCCTTGCCTTACGTCACATTCCTCTCAGCATAGAGAAAGTCATTCCATTAACTTTCTTCATTACTTGCTGTACCTACATGCCAACATGCTGTGACTGGAGCACTAGATCACCCTGATTCTTTTGCACCTCCAAATTCAGCAACCATTTTCCATTTAGATGATACCCTGCTGTTTCATATTTTGTCCTGAAGTGAAAAAGTTGACATTTTGTCATGTTAAATTCCACCAGCCAGATTTTTGCCCATTCACTCAACCAATCCATGTTCTATTTGCAACCCTTTAAGTGTTCCTTGTAACATTCTGTCCTACTTATCTTTGGATCATCTGCAAATTTAATCACAATGCCTCTAATTTTCTCATCTACATATTTCCTAATCAACCTGCTCGGAGTTGTTATTCCACATGTCCAGAGCAGCTGGGATTTGAACCCCGACCATATGGCTCAGAGGTAGGGAAACTACCACAGTGACACAAGATCCCTCACTGCTCTCATCTAGATGTTTTCTAAGCAGCCTGTTTAGAGATGTTATTACACTCCACTGGAGGAGGTGGGACTTGAACTTGGAATTTGTAGCTTAAGTGTAAGGGCACGACTACTGCATCATATGGATGCCCTCCCACTCCTCTTTTCTAAGTCATCAAAATGTGGGATTCTCTAAGGGTCAGTATGGACTTGTTGGGCCGAATGGTCTGTTTTCACACCGTAGGGATTCTATGGAACGGAAGAAAAATAAATTGTGAAAACCTGAGACACCAGCAAGATCCAGGCCACTTATTAGCCCTCTCTACTGCCCTCTCTGTTATAAGGTGTAAAAAAGGCTCGTTCAACATTAACAGTGAATCCATAAGTCAAGTTTCTATCAGTGCAATATACAATAACAACTCTCAGGCTTTTTATTTATCCATTAATTTATTTATTGATTGATTGATTCATTGATTGTCACATGTTTGGGCTGCTTAGCAGCAGATAATGTTTGGGTTCAAAGTCCCAGGCAGTGAACATCTCAAACAAGAAACGTTCTAACCATATTTCCATGGAACTCCATGGCCTTACCGTTGCTGAATACCCTAACAAGTAAAATCCCTGAAAGTTGTATCTAACCGAGAATGTAACTGGGCAAATCCTGTAAGAACTCTGCTGACAACAGCAGTTCAAAAGCTGGAAGTTTATGAATGAGTGACTCACCTCCTGTCCACTATCTACAAGACACAACTGAGGAGTATGATGATATACCCTGATATATACCTGAGTGACTGCAGTCCAAATACCCAGAAAACTCTGTGTCATCCATGACAAAGCAGCCCATTTGATTAGCACCCCAATCGTCACCTCTTGCAAGCATCAGCCATTTCCCAAAAAAGAATGAGTTGAAGAAATTGCATGACTTGGGCTTTTTGAAACTCTATGGAGTTTCCGATTTGTAAATTCATAAATCTTCATGAATGGCATATTTTTTGAAGCAATAACACTTACGAAACAATTATATTTTTGAGGGACTCTTTTTGTTCTACTTTGTTCTCTTGAAAATATCATTAATCTTAATTGTTCGATCAAAGAAGAAAGAAGCCTTTTAGACAAGAAATGCTTTAAAAGAAGTTATAATGTTCCATCATTGTTCCGTTATCTTTGTTATTTCAGAAGATCCACTAATCATCAGTCCTACAGATGCAAATGCTGTTGCTTTAATTGTGACCCAACTGGAGAAAATATTGCAAGTGGAGAGCATAAATGAGGAGCTCGCTGTAACACTCGTTAACACAATAAGCAACCTCATCAATGCCTCAGTTGATGCTGTTGCCTCATCTTCCAGACAGTAAGTTAGTTTGACAGCAACACATTCAGTAATGCAGCCCATTTTGTTTATTTTTCATTTGTTAATGTATTTTCCAGGACCATAAACAAACAATTTGCGTCAAACTATTCAAGGAGTTATTAGGACAGGTGAGCAAAATCTCAGTCAAAAAGATAGGTTTTAACGAGTATTTAAGGATGGTGAGAGGAGTAGAGAAATGAGGAAACTTAAGGAATAAAGTACAGAGCATAGGTCTAAGACAACTCAAGACATAAGCACCAACAGTGGAGCAAACAATGTCTGAATGAAAGAGTCGCCAAAATACCCTTCAGGAGGTTTGTAGAATTTCAAGAAGCTCATGGAAATGAAGAGAGATCTGTAAGTGAGTATTTATTTAATTCACGGTTTATGACCACAATATTCGTGGGGCGGTAGGGAGGGAGCTAAGTGTGTGTTTATGGCCTGGAGATTGGGAAACGCTGGGAAGGAGAAATCCTGGTGAATTAAATCACAGGTTTTAAACTAAAATTTCTTAACTCTGTTTCATATCTGGCTATTGATCAAGAAAGCACATGGAGACAACACCAATGCTTGAGAAGACCAAGAGTCAATAGATGATGAAGGGATTGAGCATGGGAACAAAGGAAGAGAATTATTAAATGGTAGAAGTGGGAGCAATTACAACATGGGAACCAATTACTGCAGATGCTGGAACTTGTGCACTGAAAACAAAAAATGCTGGAGATCTCAGTGGGTCAGACAGCATCCACAGAGAGTGAGTGAGCTAACGTTTCGAGTCTAGATGACTCTTCATCAGAGCTGAAGTGAAGTGTGGAAGGGGCAGCATTTATGGAATAGTCGTGGGGGAGGGTGAGTGTGGTTGGAGTGCGATGGTGATAGTTCAGATTAAGTGATTGGAATGTATGTTTGATTGAGGGGCAAAGGAAACTCTTCACTTCTCTCACCCCACAAGCAGTGTTGGAAAAGCACTTGCACGTAGTATTGGAGCTCTTGCCTCCCTCCAGCTCTGAGAAACCTAGCCTGCAGATATTAAATTCACGTGGTTAGTAAAATAGGAGAAATGGAACCTCATTAACATGTTATAATTTGTGATCTGCTTTGCTCAGGCATCAAGTCTGGTCTAAATGTGACCAGATTTTCATGGTTGGTTGGGTTTCATAGTTTATAACAATAGAAATGCCCACTAATCCTCTCCTGACCATTGCGGAGGGCTAAAATTCACCCTCTGTATTGACTGAACTGTGTGAATAAGATCTGATGCACTTACCTGTCGGCTAACTGAATCCTTATCCATCATCATACCTACTTGTCATCTCTGTGAACTGTTTGAATTTCTAATGTAGAATGTGTATTGACAGTGGAGTATTACATAACATAAGACACTGGAGTGGGCCATTCAGCCCTTTCAGCCACCACTTAATGGGATCATTACCAATCCTCTACCTCTTTGTGCACTATCATATCCCTCGACATTTTCAATGTGTATAAATCAGTCTCAGTCTTGAAATAACTCATTGACTGAGCCACCCCAGCAACCTGGGTCAGAGAATACCAAAGACTCACCACCTTCTGTTGTTTTCTTTTAAACACAGAGGACTGAGGATATTTAGTCAATGAGTAACTTCAAAACAGATTGATAGAGTTTGGACCCTAAAAGAGACAAGGGGTATTTGCAAAGGGTGGGAAAGTAGATTGATGTCAAAGTTTAGCTGTGACCTTACTGAGTAATGGAGGAGCAAGAGTGACAGGCTATATGCACAGGCTTCCTTGGATTAGTTTATTAGTAATGATACTAAGTTAGTATTATTAGTAGACAGTTCTCTGCCTTTTTCTATACATTAATAAAGTATCATGAAATTTGGTTACTTCTTCAGAAAGAGTACTTAAATAGAAAACAAAAGGACCTTTCTTTGTGTGGGTTTCTGTACACATAATAAGATGCACAAATATCTACCTCCATGCCTTTCGCTCTATGTTATCTTTACACCATAAAACATCCTTCCAGTTACTGATAGAACCTGTTTTTTTTAAATTAGGATATTGGATATTGTGGACACAATTGGTGAGAAGCTGAATTTCACAACAGATTCAATAAACATCACCTCCCCTTTCTTGACTTTGGCTGTGAACAAAATCAATGCTACTGCCTTCAGTGGAGCAGACTTCACCATCAGCAACGTTACCAACCTGCAGGTAGAACAGACCCAATCTTTCCACGCTGTTTATCAATGCGGTTATTCCAAACTTATTTGGCTGGGTTCTGCACTAATGACAGCGAGGTTAACAATGTTTGCCATCACTAACTTGATAGAAGGGCAGCTGTTTCTGGGGACTGCACATGTGCAGTTAGAAATGGAAATCTGCAAGTTTCTGTCCAGGATTCCCATTCCCCTGATAGCTTACCAAAATTGGCATCTAACGTTCTCACTCACCATTCAAATACATTGAATGGCATGAGGTTCTTTAACTTATCTCAATTGTATGTTAAACTTCCTAACAAAATGTTATTTTAACAATGTATTATCTCGTATTTAATATGAAACAGCCCTCTCTGGCACTGAAAATTAATTGTGAGGTGTAGAATCTCAGTCCTTCAGATTTTACATATCATTGGAGATTTTAAATAAATAAAGTGCTATTTTACTTTTCCTTGCTGTCCCTTTTAACTTACTCTTTTAATTCAATCTTCTCTTTTTCTTTCAATTTCTGTAGCAAACTTAATATTGCATTAAATCTTCTAATTTCTAGGTTCACACTCTCCTCATTCATGAATTATTCCACAATTTGGTTAAGAGGCTGCACAGTTGCTTGTCCTATTCATGCAGGTTTCAGATTCCCTATAAAGGGCAAAGATGGGGAATGGGGTGAATTTAAATTATGATTGCTTTCCCTCTCTTGACCCCAAGCCAGTGAGGTTTGTACTCCCATTCTTTACTGAGGTAGGCCAAAGGATGTTCCCCATACTCTGATTTGTGGATTCCGATTTTTGAAATGAACCCACATTACCATATTTTAAGATAAAATAAAAAAAATAGGGTTTATTAACAAAACATTCAAAACAAGATGGAATTGCCTTACTACCCCAACTACACGTGCAAGCATGAAGGAAAACAAGGAACGATGTGGAGATGCTGGTGTTGGACTGGGGTGGACAACGTCTGAAATCACACGACACCAGGCTATAGTCCAACAGGTTTATTTCAAATCACAAGTTTTCAGAGCACTGTTTAAATAAATCTGTTGGGCTACAACCTGGTGTCATGTGACTTCTGACTGAAAACAAAGAAAACAGATCAGGAGATGTGATAAATCAATAAATTACAAGATTTGATAAATTCCTGGGTATTAAGGAAATCAGTTCATGTGAGTTACAACTTCCTAGGTGTCAGTGTCCAATAACAATTTCCTCTGTGAGTTGGACCCAATGCTATTTCCTTCTTGTAGACAAAGTGCAAGCTTCTTTGCAGCTAACAACTTGGAGGTAGAGATGGGGGTTTTGAGGTACATTTTAACTCAGCCTGGAATCCTGCTGTCCATCTGGAAGTGACCTTGAACCAGTGAATTGGGGTAGCAAACAATTCAAGGAGGCTGGATTTCAGTCATGTGACAAAGACTGGCATTTTAGTTGCGGAGGTGCTACTAGTGGGCTAATTGTAAGGTCATTAAGCTAACAGTGTCACCTTACATTCCCCTGTCAGATTTACACTGCAAATTGATGAGGTAACTTTAACAGTATTAGCATCTATTTTAGCATAAGGCGTTTTGATGTTCTTGTTTACCTGGAGCTGCCTGATAATACAGCTGGCAGTTTAGCAAACTCAGGAATTCCCATTAGGAGCAGTGCCAGCTGCTGGGGCATGCAGAGGCACAGGAGTTCAAATGATGTAGGCTGAAGAAACTTCTGTAAAAAAGCTGAGGAGAAGCCCCTTCGAGCAAATCCCCCGAAGGACCCATCTTCCTTCTCCCAGAACGCTCTTTGCAGAAAAGTAGCACCAGTCTCTACTCCCCACCTGGAGCTGAGAGGCCACTTGCACTCAACTGACAGGAGGAACGCTGTTGTTCTGTCATTGACATAATACCTAATCCTGCCAAAATGGTCTGTGAGTATGTAACAATCGCAGAGAACGCTGGAAAAGTCTTGGAAATATTTGTGGAAATAGACTCTTTGCTTCAGAATGGTACGAGTTTAAACAAATACATGTGAATAGCTTAAGCATATAAATTCACTTCCAGCTTCTATGGCAGGATACCTGTCACTAGCCAGTCCATCCTTTGGTAAAACTCTCCACTGGAGGGACAACATTAGGGACTCAACACAATCCAGCTACCCATAATACTACAACATAGTAGGAAACAGTGTTAGAGAATTCAAATGCATTTGGGAGTGAGGATAAGGTGAAGGAGATTGAACATGGAACCTGTACCATGTGCTCATCTCTGCCCCTGATCTTCCCGAATTTATTACACTAAGAGAATCCAATAGTCCCAAAAGACACTGGAAATGCAATCCTGTTTCTCTGCGATAGCATTCTGTTAAAAGGAAGCAAAGAACCTGTCTCTTGACATTCTGTATATCTGCGCTCTCTTATACTTCAGGTCTCTCTGGATGAAGAATCTCCTCAGGCAAGTTTTGCAGCTATTGAACTTCCATCTTCCCTACTGAAAAATTTCTCTTCAGAGGAGGTGGATAATATTTCGAGAATTCAATTCTCTTTCCATGAGAAACCAACATTGTTCCAGGTATATTTGTTGATTTTGTTAACTTTTTCCGTATTCAATAGATTATCCTGCACCCTCAATAACTTCACATTAAAATTAGGACTGAGAAAGAAGTTGGGTTCAAACGTTTTAAAGCCCCAGAATTTCCCGGAGACATTCATCACTGGAATAGCATTATGTGGCATAACACAAGCCCTAACCCTAAGAAGTTATTGTATGAAGTAGGCCATTACTCATGCCATGCTATAACTTCTTGGTACATTTGCCTTGTCAATCCAGTGCCATTTCTGAAACTGCACAAAATTGATTGTCAATGGCAAATTGCCCAAGATTTCCTGGCCTACTTTCCTGTGATTGATCAGGGAGCAATGCATTTTTTTCCTATCTAGGTTTACTGTTGTTCTTGTTTTTAACAAGTACGTGTTTCTTGTTATCAGGATTCCAACCTTGGTAGCGCATCTGTCTTGAACAGTTACATCATTGCATCCAGCGTTAATGCAAACATCAGCATCAGTGACTTGGCGGATCCAGTCAAAATCACATTCAAGAACCTTCAGCTCATGGAGGTATAACTGAAATCTCTAGCTCCTATTCAGTTTGGACAAATGCAGGACATTATATTGCTAGCCAATACAATGTGATCATTTACTTTCAGTTGTGAAGAATATGATGCAAATATTATGTCAGAAAGCTTATTGGTGGCTAGATGACATTGCTACAAGATGGTAGGGCATGTAGTTATGTTCTAGGTGGATCACTAGCAAAGGCTGTTTAATATGAACAAATAACATACGAGAGCTTAAAAAGGAGGAATATGTACTCCATGGATGGTTAGGCATGAATCTTCCAAGAGGGAATATTGAAATGGCCAAGAGGAATTAGCAGACATATTGTTCACCATGCCTACACAATCTGAGGTGGCAAGAAAAAAAAATCAATCCAGGGTGGAGGGGGGCAGGGGGCGGTGGTATGAGATCATATCAGTTCAGTCTGAATGCCCAGAAATGATATTGCACCCAATTGTTTTTACAATACGAGATAGTAGGAACTGCAGATGCTGGAGAATCCGAGACAACAAGGTGCAGGGCTGGATGAACACAGCAGGCCAAGCAGCATCATAGGAGCAGAGAGGCTGACGTTTCGGGCCTAGACCCTTCATCAGAAATTTTACAATACGACTGTTAGAAAAATTGTGCCATTTTAAACATTTTTAACTCTGTACCTTTTGTTTCATTACTAAAAGATTAATTATTAATGATGTGTTTTGTAATTACAGGATAGTTCTATTGTGGAGTGTGTATTCTGGGATTTTCTGAAAAACAGTAAGTACTTCAGGCAACATTTAAACAGACAAAAAATATTCCATTTATTTAGCACTTGTTATAGTCTCAGCTTGTCCCAAAGTGCTCCATAGCTAATGCAGTAATTTTGGGGTGTAGTTGTACTTATGGGCAGGAACAGCAACCAGTTTGTATGTGCTGAAATCTCACAAATAGAATACATAGCATGTGTTCAGATAATTGGACAAAACAACTGAAAGAACTGTGAATGCTGGAAATCTGAAACAAAAACAGAAATTGCTGGAAAATCTCAGCAGGTCTGGCAGCATCTGTGGAGAGAAATCAGAGTTAATGGTTTGGGTCCAGTAACCCTTCTTCAGAGCTGATGGTAGCCAGAAAAAGCATGCTTTTGTTTTATACAGAAGATGGGGTGGGGGCGGGGGGGAAGAGTAAATGATAGGTGAAGATCAAGTCATGAGAGAGAGCAAAACAGACAAAGGAGTGGTTAAAAGTCAGTCTGCAAGAATGGATAGCTGCTAATGGGGACAATTAGTGGCTGACAATGAGTAGTGTGTGGTAGCAGCTCCTGTAATGACACAGTCTGGTGTGTGGGGGTGGGGGAAAGGTGCTAAAGTCCTAAAATTCTTGAACTTTAATATTAAAGTCCATAAAGCTGCAGGGTTGCCAAGCGGAAAATGAGGAGCTGTTCTTTCAGCTTGCGCTGAGCATCACTAGAGCGCTGCAGCAAGTCTGAGATACAAGTGTTGACCAGGGAACATGGTGGTGTTTTGAAGCGGCAAGCAACTGATTAACATAAACTAACACCTGACCGGCACTGACCAATCAGAAACCGTGCTCCCTTTTACCCTCTGTGACATCCGCAGTTTGCTTCTGCACAATGGTTGGCTCCTGGCTCATTGTGAAAGGAGCGTGCCCAAACCAAAGCTAGGCCTGAGAACCTCCATGCTTGGTTTTAAAGCTTCATTAACTCTGGTTTCTCTCCACAGATGCTGCCAGACCTGCTGACGCTTTCCAGCAATTTCTGTTTTTGTCTCAGATAATTGGATACTGGACTAATACTTGAAATGGGTGGGGTTGCCTTATGATGAAAAGTTGGACAGGTTAAGCTGGCATCCGCTGGAGTTTAAAAGAATAAGAGATGACTTGATTTAAATCTAGAAGATCCTGAGTGATCTTGACAGGGTGAAGTTGGGGATGATGTTTCTGCACGTTGGAGAATCTGGAACTAGGGGTCACCGTTTCAAAATAAGGGTTGTCCATTTCAGAGAGAAATGGAGAGAACATTTTTTTTTTCCCCCTCAGTGGATCGTGAGTCTTGGAAACTGTCTTCCTCAAAAAAGACTGGAAGCAGAGATGTGAATAATCTTAAGGCAGAGTGTAATGATTCTTGATAAGCAAAGGGATGAAAGGTTATTGGGTATAGATGGAAATGTGGAGTAATTGGTCATCAATGATTTTATTGAATGGTGGAGTACATTCAGGGAGCTGAGTGACCTACTCCTGCTTCTAAATCATATATTTGAATAGAAATTGTCCAGAACTGCATTGAATGAAGGCTGTAATCATTCCCAGAGTCAGGCTGCACCACTGACTGCGATCTGCACAAATCTGCACAGTATTATTAGAGGAGAATGCGCAAAAGTAGGTTCCCTGCTGAAAGGCTTTGAATCAGAACCATCCTCCATGTCGCACAGTTCATGGCTAATATAATGCTAGGATTCCAAATTTGGACGATGTATATGTTATTTCTCTTCATTATTCACTCCACCCACATCAAGTGTTTGGATGCAAGATGACCTTGCAACAGCAGGGTTAAGCATCCACGTTGCAAAATAGGACCTTTTTCATTTTTCCTATCACAAAGTACTCTGGATTGTTATCAGAGATGCTGTAGTGACTTCTTGAATTTGCAAAAGCATGTACCATGTTTTTGGGAGTGGGGTTGAGCAGAGAACTAGGTGACCTGTTAACACTAAATATAGCCATTATGGTAGTGACAGTGGCAGTCCCTCTGTTTGCAGCATAACCATGAGCAAACTTGGTGCACAAATTGCTATCACTGTTCAATGTGTCCATTACAATTGAAGATGCTGCCTTTGGCTCTCTCCGCACAATCACAAACATTCCATTTGTTTTTCTTACCCCGTCTCCTTCCTTTCCCCGCATCAGTTCTTCCTGTAAATCAACATGGTTAACCTCTCACTTTTTCCAGTTCTAACTAAAAGCAAAGGGATAGAATATTTACGTGGGTATTTTTGACCAGTGCAGACTCGATGGACTAAAGGGGCTTTTTCTTGTGCTGTACACCTCTATGACGTTCTATCTTGCTTTCCCTCCCTTCAACTCTACAAACGATTCTTCAAAACCCACGTTTGCCTTCTGATCAGATTTCCTGATTGTTCTATTATCAGTGTTTTCATTCTTCCATTGCTGAAATATAATTCGGATGTCTGCTGCATTAACAATGTTAGAAAGTAGTTGAGGTAGAATGCGACCTGACACTGCCAAGCACTTCTCTCAGAAGCAGCTAATATAATCAATGCTTGACCAATCACTCCTTAGCAGTCGTGCTGACCCCTATTCCCATAATGCAGCTGTTCACTGAACTGACATTCACCCAACCCAGTCTCATGTTCCTGCCTCATGTGACATGTCAACATGGCCCTTCCGTTGTTGCAGATCTGGAACATATTCATGAAAATGCATCCTGACCCCAATCAATTTAATACCCTTGGGATCATTTTCCTGAGAATACTGACAAGACTGAGAGTGGAGACAGAGCCATAGGCAACATCTTCAATTGTAATGGACACACTGAACAACGATAGCAATTTATGCAATAAGTTTTGCAGCTTTCATCTTGCATCCAAACACTTGTTGTTTGTGGGTGGAGTGAATAATGAAGAGAAATAACATGTATATCTTCCAAATTTGGAATTCTACAATGACTGCAGCAGCAGCCTCTATTGCTCTATTGTAGTTCACAGTATGAAACACCAGACCCAATTACATACTAAACATGGCAGTGATTTCATAAGTTCTTAGTCACGTCATTTTTAGGAAACCCCTGCAAAATGTGTTGTACACAGGTCTGAGGCATTAATACTTGATTGACTGCAATATCCACCATTCACTGTTAAGATGTCTTAAGGACTGGCTGGAGTAAAGCAGAATTCTGTGAATTACAATCATAAAGCAAGGTCCTCCAGAATGTCTTTGTAATAATATACAGAATATTCCTGTAACCTGCAAATAGTTGTGTACTGTACCAGACCAGAAGATGGCTATGCTTGTGTAGGTCTTAAAGAACCCAGAGGCCTTGACAATATGGCTGGCAGCATAAACAATCAGATAGCAACAGCAGTCTCACATTTCGAAAGCATTGCCAGGAGTCAAAAAGAAAAGTTTTATGTAAATTAAGATTTTAGATGTTTACAAATAAGTCAGGGGAATTCCATCAGGGATGTATTTATGATCTCCTGTTCAGCATCATGACATTTAGTTTTTGAAGGACTGAAGGAGACTGTGTCCTGTATGCCTTCTGGCGTTCTATGCCATATGTTAATCACCATTATTGCATTGGAGAACTTCCTGATTTCAATCCTATATTTGTTTATTTATCAATGAGTGTCCCTTTGTCCTACTGTCACAATTTAAAATAATTTTACAGATTCCTCCTTTTTCATTCTTTGACAATATATAACATGACAGGATCATCTCTCAGGTCCTTCTGCCCAAAACTGAAAATTCTAAAACCCTCCAGTTTTCTCTTACGGTTCAAGTGCTTTACCACTAGACCTGAGCTTTATAGACCTTCTCTACACTGTCTCCAGTGTCATAAATGTCTTTTATCTCTCAAAGACCAGAACTGGGCACGGTATTTAAGGTATAGTCTAACGTGACCAATACAAGCTGGATTATGACATCTTTTCACTGATATTCTGCTGTTTTGGCTGATCAGCCCAAAACCTCGTGGGCTTTGTTGATTACTGCTCTGATTTGATTAGATGTGCTGAATGTCAAATCTGTAAAACAGGGGTATCATTCAGCTTCAGCTTTGCCTATCGACGGTACGGTGGCTCAGTGGTTAGCACTGCTGCCCCACAGCCCTAGGGACCTGGCTTCAATTCTAGCCTCAGGAGACCGTCTGTGAGGACTGTGAATATTCTCCCCTTGTCTGCATAGGTTTCTGCCAGGTAATTAGGCAGAATAATGGTGTACATAATTCTAGCCACCTTCTTGCCTCCACTGAATTAAATTCAGTGTGGAATGGCCCAGGGCCAACTTTCTAAACCTTTGCCAGTTGAGCCCCTTATGCGGTCATTCACAGTAACACTTCCCAAATGTTTTGCCACTGTGACCTCAATTCAAGGCTTGAGAACTGTCAGGACCCCTCAGTGAGATCTGTCAGGGTGAGAGCACAAGTCTGTCAGTCTGGGAATGCAGATGTTTTAACTCACCCAGTGTTCCAAGGCAGATATAGTTACGTCAGAATTTGTGACCTCAAAATTTCAGTCTGTGACCCCCACTTTGGAAAGCAGTGACTGACAGGCTTTGGCTATCTCTGTTAGGTTTAACCGACCTGCAGACAAGATTGTCGCCATGCAGCCAACCTTGCTTGGTTGGAAACAAAAACAGAGATTGCCGGAAAAGTTCAGTAGGTCTGGCAGCATCAGTGGAGAGAAATCAGAATTAATGTTTCAGGTCCAGTGACTCTCACTCAGAACCAATCTTGCTGAGTTGGACTTGGCCACATGTCTGCCCCCAACAGGGTCTTAATTCTAGCTGCACACCCACTGATGGCCTCATCGCTGCCTTTACTGGTTTGTGGTTCAGCCAGACGAAATCTCTGATATCCCAACACGATTCCACCCTGTGTTTCAGATCAATAACACAGACTTTCAGCTGATCCACTGAGCTTTTGTTGTCTAGCTTTTATTGTACTTAGAGATTTCCTGTACTCTGCCCTTCCTCAATTGATGTGTGTGGGACAGCGGGCAAGAACTGAATCTCTGAAGGTTTCAATCATTATACATTTTTGTATATCTGCAGATGCCACTGGTGGATGGAATTCAGAAGGTTGTACAACTGCACAGAACACATCAAATCAGACAGTATGTGAATGCAACCATCTAACCCATTTCGGTGTCTTACTGGTACGTAAAACAAATGAAAGAATCCCCCAGACATACCACAAAAGCCAGCCTTTGTTGGAATTGGACTGATATTAAATATGACCTACTTGCACAGTTCAAAATGCAATAATTCTATCAAATTATTCATAATTGGTTCAACCTGAACTAGTATGGAGCATACTGTGCTGATGCCCATTAAGAACATCTTATTTTTCTTGTTTCCAGTAAGGAGAAATGTGTTTCACAGTCTCAGAACTTGCCTAAGGAAGGACTTTTGAATTGTACTGTAAACAGGCGGCCAATTTCTGAAGAAGAGTCCCAACCCCAAACATCAACTTTCCTGTTCCTCTGGTGCTGCCTGGCCTGCTGTGTTCCTCCAGCTCCACACTGTGTTGTCTCTGACTGCAGCATCGGCAGTTCTTGCTATCTATGGCCAATTTTTGCTTTGCAGGATTTCTCAAAACGACAGACCTTTTTTTGTAGCATTGGTTACACAATAAACATTTGCAGCCATTGAGGAAAATAGACATTCCCTATAAGCATAACATACAAGGACCTCACACTGCTCCTCTTGGCCTGGCTTGGTCTCCTCCACACACAATTGTTTTAATTGCAGCTATGGGCATCATTCACTGTCCCTCAAAGTGAGGAGAACATTTGTCGTGTATAGTCCCTAGCATTAACTTGCAATTCTTTACCCTGAGGAGACTGTTAACTCTATGGTCCAGGCTGACTCGCATACAGTGTTTCAGTTCAGAGACAGGCTTCTTTTGCCAAGACAGTTTTTACTGAAGTACGTAAGACTTTTTCTGATTTGTTCACTGTAAGCCCTTAACGTGATTGTAAGTTTGGTAAAACTCATCCATCAGAAAATGCCAGTAGTCTAATCAGACACTTCAATAAAACTATAGATTGCTTGCTGTCAGATGAACATATTACAAGGCACAGCAGGATATAACCAGAAGAAAGTAGCAGAATTGAAACACTAGATGATCAGGACCCAATATAAATAATTGCTTCCATGTATTAGATTTGTTTAGAGATGTAGTATCTAAATTCCAAAAAGCTATCATGATAATTTACAAGGCAAAAATACAATTAACTAATTATGTTCCCAATTTATTCTAATGTTATTAATAGGGAACTATATTTGACAGAGTCATAGAGATGTACAGCCTGGAAACAAACCCTTTGGTCCAATTCGTCCATGCTGACTAGATATCCTAAACTGAGCTCGTCCTGTTTGCCAGCATTTAGCCCATATCCCTCTAAACCCTTCTTATTCACATACCCTTCCAGTTATACTGTTGTTATTATATCAGCCTCCACAACCGCCTCTGGCATCTCATTGCATACACTCACCACCCTCTGCATGAAAAAGTTGCCCCTTAGATCCCGTTTAAATCTTGCCCTCTCACCTTAAACCTATGACCTCTACCTTTGGACTCCCTTATCCTTGGGAAAAGATCTCGGCTATTCACCCTATCCATGCCCCTTGTGATTTTATAAACCTCTATAAGGTCACCCCTCTGCCTTCGACACACCAAGGAAAATAGCCCCAGCCTATTCACACTCTCCCTATAGTACAAACCCTCCAACCCTAGCAACCTCCTTATAAATCCTTTCTGAACCCTTTCAAATTTCACAACATCTTTCCTTTAGCAGGGAGACCACAGCTGAAATGAAACAACATCACTGACCTGTTAGTTGTTTGATTTTGTCTAACAATCAGATATCTACATAAATTGACTGGACAACACACCAGTGACAAACTCAAAACTAGTTTATTGCCTCACTGATATTTTAATTGTGATGAATGTTGAAATTTAGAGCCTGTGCATTGAATCTGCAGTCCACGTTGTTTCCGATACAATAATCTCGTAGTTAATAGAGGCAAATTTGGGCAGGCTGTGAATCAGATGCAATCACACCTACTCCTGAATTCCCAGCTATCCCCTGACACTGTGCAACAGATATGACCTTAACCATCACTGTCCCTTTACATCTGTGTCACCACTGCATGGTCTATCTATTCTCATTAAAAATACCTTTGCCCTCCTCAGAAAATATACTGTCAAGTTTATACTTACAGTGTGATCATGTGCTTAAAAACAATTAAGTTTCTCTAATTATATTAAATTCAAAATACTTGTTATCAAACAGCATGTTTAAACAGGAACATATGAAGTATTTTACATCATCCTGAGAGTCAGTACTCCATATTATTTGACAAAGTCAAACTCCATTTGCATTAAATTCTAGAGTTAATATGGAATCTCTGGGTGCTTTGTATGGGGTGGTGACTCAGTGGTCAGCACTGCTGCCTCACAACGCCAGGAATCCATGTTCAATTCCACCCTCAGGCAACTGTCTGTGTGGAGTTTGCATGTTCTCCCCATGTCTGTGTGAAATTCCTCTGGGTGGTCCGGTTTCTCCCCACAGTCTAAAGTTGTACACGTGAAGTGGACTGGCCACGCTAAATTGCCCATAGTGCCGAGGGATGAGCAGACTAAGTGGTTAGCCATGGGCAATGTAGGATTACAGGGATAGGGTAGGGGAGTGGGTCTGGGTGGGATGCTCCTTAGAGAGTTGGTGTGGACTCGATGGGCCGAATGGCCTGTTTCCACACTGTAGAGATTCTATAATTCAATTTCCTTCTTAAATCCTCTTTTCTGCCCCCTCTTTTAGGTCAACTTGTGTACACACTGTTCTCCAGAGTTGCAAACAGGGGCTCCCAGTCTCTAGCAACCTGATAAAATGATGCAACAGTCGAAACGGAATCTAACTGCAATCTGTCATGGCTCTCGGTTTCTCCCACCCTCCCAACAGGGAAGCATTGAGTGAAACGATTCAAAATTATTGGCAAAAATACATTACTTTAAAAACAAAAGCTCGAGAGATATCCTCCCATGACTTACTAAACAGGTTAAATGTAATATAGCAGAAAAAGAGGCTTATCATATTGCAAAGGATAGTTGTAAGTTTAGAGATTGGGAGGATTTTAGAAATCATCACGGCCACCAAAACATTGATTAAAAGCAAAAAAGAGAATTGAATGAGAGTATTCTAGTCAGGAACATAAAACTGATTGAGAGTGTGCTATAAGTATATAAAGAAGGAGGATACTAGCTAAAACAAATTTTGGTCCCTTAGAGGCAGAGTCGGGAGAAATTATTTGGAATGAGGAAATAGCACAGACATTGAATAGATATTTTGTGCCTTTTAGACACAAGTTGTCTACCAGGAATATGGGGTGACCTCGGGGCTAGTAGTGAGGAAATTAAGGTAATTAAAATCAGCAAAGAAAAAGTATTCAAGAATAGGGAGAAGTCACAAAGTTCGATTAGAGTAATTCATTTCCTCCTGCACCCCCCCCTTCCAGCTGCTTGTTTATGATGCAGACCACACATGGAACTCACAGAGGTGGGGTATAGTGGGTAAGGAATCCTAGTCCCAGTGATTATAGGAAATCAGGAAGACGAAAGGGAGTGGTGCATGGTCCCACATCCAACACCTTGGAAACCAGGGGTCATGAACACAACAGACCTGCAGAATGCAACACTGGAAACAGATGATCATTTTCTTCTTCCATTTCCCTCCCAGAAACTGGCCAACTAGGCAGACTGGCTGGCAGGAAAAATAATACAGTCAGGGATAATAAGAAAGTGGTGCGAGAGACCCGTTGGTTGGGATCAGGTCTGTGCTGTGGGGGAGGTCGTGATCCTGGTGACAATGACAGACTATCCACTTAAGAACCTGGGGAGGAACTCCTGTGCTCCCTGGCCTCCAAAGAGTGTTCTCCTCTTCTGAGGGTAGCAGCTCTCACCTTCATTTCACCGCTGGGTTTCCCCAAGTCCGGAGAAATCCAGCCAGCAGCGGGTAAACATAAACCTAGGTTTTTCCGTGCACTGTAGATGCCTGAGTTAAACATATCCACAAAGAATACCATCTGCCAAGATGGGTCACAGGATGACATCTTCCCAGCTTTATAAATAGTGGTAGGAGCACTGGTAGCTGTTGAGGTGTTTGATTTAGGAATCTCCTGTGTATTCCACTGCTGGTTTAGAAACAGGATGTAGGCAGCCATTGTATCTGCACCCAGTGAGACCCAGATCAGCGAGCCAAGGGTACAGGGGGCTGAAGGGTGGGTTTGTTGGTGAAAAGGAAAATGACAAAGGAATGGCAACATCCAGGGGTGGGGGTAGGAGTAGAAATTTGTTCAACATGCATAGGAAACCCCCATAAAGGATGGATCCACCTGACACCCCTTCCTTCCCACTTTTTAACCGGTGGCGTGTGTAATATTCAGGTCAGTTGGCAAATTGCCCATTAATAATAATTTTTAAAGTGGCAGGCAGACTGCAGATTTTGGCATTCATTTGCCTAGCATTTCAGGTGGAGAGTGGGTGGGAAGGAGGTGGACTAGCAGCTCTACATATTTTACATGCCTCCTCATGCCCACAACAGCAAATAAAATGCTTGGCAGACTCTGTAAAATTCAGCCTATGGTATTACAGTGCTGCATATTGATGCCTGAATTTGTACAATGTATAGAGGAATCTGAGGTGAACAAGCTAAGTGCTTAGCTACTGATATCACCGATCGCGATTTCTCAGCATGTTGGTACTTAACATGTAACTTTGCTTTGCTGTATTTAATTAGATGAAACAAGCATTCCAAAAGTTCTTTGCCACCAGAAAGAGCATGCACACACATTACGCCTGTTCCAACAAAACAGAATTGCAACAGCCATTCTTTGGTTTATTTCTCAAGGCACTGCATTGACCAATCAATTTAAACAAAGCACAGCCATTACCTGTCACTCATCATCAAGCTGGTGTATTGCCCATTAAAATTCCTCTATCAGTCAGAGTCTACCAATCAGCACTTTCTTCTCAGACAATATACAAATGTACAAAATGTAATTGAATTTTTCATTGCAATGGTATTGTAAATTGTCCTGATAAGTACAGGGTGAAAAGTTTTGACGAAATGTCTCTTTTTTGTCAGCAATATAGTATAACCTGACAGTGCATCATTTATCTTTCTGTCTCTTTCATGTGCTAATTGAGCTGCAGAGCATTTGCAGCTTTCTGCTTTATATTCCAGGTTTCCAGGATCATTTTCTAACCTCCAATTTTGTTGCTTTTGTAGACGATTTCCAGAGATCCTATAACTGATCCTGTCCAGGAGCGAATCCTTACTTTCATTGCATACATAGGATGTGGCCTTTCTTCAATTTGCTTGGCTATGACCTTGGTGACATATCTCGTTTTTGAGTAAGTTTGCTTTCTTTGTCATAAACCATCATTAACTTAAATGCTGAGAGATTCCTTGCCCAGAACATCTTGTCACAGCGTGACATGTACTTGAAACAAATCTCAGCTTCCGGCCTGTTTTACATCTGTAATATGGCATGGGTTTGTTGATCACTGTCAGGGTTGGTTTCATCCTTAGTAGTGCTCACATCTCTAAAAAGGTTGAAGTTTTCAATCCACAGCAGGAGCTGAGCACAGTTTGAAAGGAAATGCACATTGTCAGATGTGCTCCTGTTTAAAAGAGGAGTTAAAATCCGTCTCCTTGATCAGGCGGATATAAAACATTCTCAAGGCACTTTTTTCTGAAGATGACACAGAATAACATCACACCTTACATTTGTATCATGCGTCAACATAGTAAAATGACTTGAGGCTTTGAGAATTGCAAATGTTGGGGGAGGGGTTGGGGTGGTGATGGTCGGCTCTGAAACCCAAGCCTAGCCTTTGCTTCTGGGTTCCCCTATTCCTTCCCAAACCTCCTCCCTGTGACACCCATTCCAACCTCACTCACCTCAATCTCTGGATCCAAAGATCTGATTAGCCAGCAGCTCTTGGGGTGGAGGAGTGCACTGGTGTGATTTCCGCTGGTCATTGATCCTGAAGTGAGTCTGACACTGGACCACTTTCCACAAAATTTCAAAATTTGAAGTCCCCTAAGCAATAATAGATATGGAGTGTCTTCATTGCAAAATTGTACAAGACAGTCTGGCAGCTGAGTTTGTAAAAATGCTTCCATGAGAGTTTTCTGGAACAATGCCCTGTGGAACCAACTGAAGTAGTTTTAGTCTCATACCTTGCAACAAGGCAGAGTTACTTAGTGTTCTCATAGTTTAAGATTCACTGAGAAATAGAACAGAATTCCATTTAACTTTAAAATTCTCTTTTGTGATTGGAGAATTTTTAAACAGAAACATAGCCAACTGCGTAATTCTGAGGGAAGAGCTGATGAAGGTTGATTGGGTAGATGGATTAAAAATGTAATGTAAATAAACAGTAAGTAACATTGGAAGAAACAATTCAAATTAAAAACAAAAGCTCAAGAGATATCCTCCCATGGCTCACTAAACAGGTTAAGTGTAATATAGCAGAAGAAGAGGCTTATCATATTGCAAAATATAGTCGGAAGTTTGGAGACTGGGGGGATTTTAGAAATCATCATGGCCACCAAAATATTGATAAAAATGAAATAAAAAAAGAATTGAATGAAATTCATCTAGTCAAGAAAATAAAACCTGATTGTGAGAGCTTTCCAGGTATACAAAGGAGGATACTAGCTAAAGTAAATTTTGATCCCTTACAGGCAGAGTCAGGAGAAATTATTTGGAATGAGGAAATAGCAGAGACATTGAACAGATATTTTGAGCCTGTTAGACACAAGTTGCCTACCAGGAATATAGGGTGACCTAGGGGCTAGCAGTGAGGAAAGTAAGGCAATTAAAATCAGCAGAGAAAAATTATACAAAAATACTAAGAAGTCACAAAGTTCAATTAGAGTAATTTGTTTCCTTCTCCTCCCCGCTTCCGGCAGAAGTGGATATTCTGTGACATTGCAAAGTACAGAAAGCATTTGGCAACACAATTGCCTTCTATTGACTCAGTTCATTAAATGGTACATGTTAACAAGTGCCATTCTAAATCTAACTACCATGGTGTTAAATATGAAGTGTGAAACTGCACTAAAGGTGGAATGATGTATACATTAAAAGTGATGAGAAAGGAGCTTTTTCTGAAGTTATTTGCCCCCATCTGCTGGTGAGGAGATTGGGAGTACATTGATAGGATTAATGGAAGGACATTTGTGGGCAGCATGCCTGCAACGTGCTGATAACTGCTTGCCAAGATAAACCTTCCCATCAGCAGTCTGACCTCAAATTTATAAGGATATCTGTAAGCTATTCAAAACATGATATGGTTAAGAGATAACAAGGTGTAGAGCTGGATGAACACAGCAGGCCAAACAGCATCAGAGGAGCAGGAAGGCTGACGTTTCAGGCCTAGACCCCCGAAACGTCAGCTTCCTGCTCCTCTAATGCTGTTTGGCCTGCTGTGTTCATCCAGCTCTACACCTTGTTATTTCAGATTCTCCAGCATCTGCAGTTCCTACTATCTCTATGAGTTGGTTAATAATAGTTTAATACATATTGGAAGATGCATATAATAACTGACCTTCTGTCATGCAGAAATAAAGTTCTATTTGATGTGCTCTAATCTAGCTACCTACTCAGCCTACGTTTAAATCCCACGCAATAACTAATGGAAATGAGATCACAAATGATTGAATGACTAATATCTGATAACTTTGTGTTTTCTTTTAGAAAACTTCGGAGAGATTACCCCTCAAAAATCCTGATAAACCTTTGTACAGCCCTGCTGTTCCTCAATATGGTTTTCCTCATTGATTCCTGGATTTCTGTCTATCGTATAGAGGGCTTATGTATCGTTGTAGCTGCCTTGCTCCATTATTTCCTGTTGGCCTCCTTCACCTGGATGAGTCTTGAGGCTCTCCACATGTACCTGGCTCTAGTTAAAGTCTTCAACACTTATGTGCGCAGATACATATTGAAATTCTGCATTCTTGGTTGGGGTGAGTAAGCTTTGCAGATTTCCCTATAAGAAAGTGTCACATACAAACCTGTTGTGTTGACAATGAACACAGGAGTATTGTGTCGGACCCTTCTAATTAATGTACGCATTATTTGGGATCTAATGAGCTCTAGAACATCCAGGGCTTCAGGAAGAAAAAAAGCAATGTGCCTCAGTGTCCATTCTGCAGCTGAGGATTGAAATGTTATTCACAAATGGGAGGCATCAGCACAGATCCCACTCCTGTCTTCAGTCAATGTCCACTTACTTGTTCATGAACAGTGGGGAGATCAATGCAAGGCAGTCAGAAATTGCAAAACTGGCCAGTACATTGCTTTCTAACTTAAGGTTATGTCCACCAATTAAATCATTCTGCTGCTCCATCAGGTAAAGGTCCGCTAACCAATCCCAGGCTATGAATATTACAGCCCTTTATTTATTCCCAAAAAAATCCTTTAAAACTTGAAACATTTGGAACACATAGACACCCCTATACTGCACTCCTTTTCCATCTTAGCTGCCACCTCTTTCCTTCAAATAATTGTGACTTCTGTTGACCTCAATGATAACAGTCAAGGCTGGTGTTATGCAACACCAGCAAACTATTCCATGATATTTGAGTGGGATTCTGGTCCAAGTTGTACGGCTTTGAAAGAATCTGGTTGCTTTACGGTGTAGTGTCTTCAATTTTATATTGTCAAGTGTTATTATTAAAATGGTGCCTTTAAAGGTGCTATAGTATTTAACTTGAAATGAACTTTGTTGTGCATGGAATCAACAAAGGCCACAATATGATGCATAGGTGTAGTCTACAACTACGAAGGTACAGTATTGTGAATGCACCACACATCATAAGACCATAAAAAATAAGAACGGGAGTACGCTGTTCAGCCTCTCGAGCCTGGTCCACCATTCGATAGGATCATGGCTGATCCAACATTCCTCACATCCACTTTCCTGCTCTTTCCCTCCAACTCTTGATTCCCCAACTGATCAAGAATCTATCTTTCTCAGCCTTAAACGTACACAAGAAATCTGCCCCCACAGCTTTATGTTGCAATGAATTCCAACAACTCTCAACTCTGAGAAGAAACTTCTCCTTATCTCAGTCTTAAATTGGCGCCCTTTATTCTGAGACTATGCCTTCTGGTCCTAGACACACTCATGAGGGGAAATATTCTCTCAGCATTTGCCCTCTCAAGCCCCTCAGGAATCCTATTTGTTTCAATGAGATTAACTCTCATTCTTCTAAACTCCAGTGAGTAGCATCCAAACCTATTTAGCCTTTTCTCATAAGACAATCCCTCTATTCTAGGGTCATTCAATTAAACCTTCTCTGAATTGCCTCCAATTAAATAATATCTTTTCTTAAATAAGGGTACCAAAAATGTTCTCCAGACATGATCTCACCAGCACCTTGTACAATTGCTGTACGACTTCAGCACTCTCATACACCTAATCCCTTTGAAATAAAGGCCAACATTCCATTAGCCTTCCTGATTACCTGCTGTACCTGAGTGCTAGCTTTCTGTGTTTTATGTACAAATACCCTCCAGTCCCTTTGTGCTGAAGCTCTCTGCAGCTTTTCTCCATTTAAATAAGACTGTTCTTTTGTTCACGCTTCCAAAATGAACAACTTCATGTTTCCCCATATTACACTTTTTGGCCTACTTAGTTAACATGTCAATATCTCCCTGTAAATTGTTTGCGTCCTCCTCCAACTACTTTTGTGTCATCTACAAATTTGGCTTCAGTATGTTTGCTTCCTTCCTCCAAATCACTAGTATAGATTGTAAAAAGTTGGCGTCCAAGTTCTGATCCCTGTGGAATCCCACTGGTTACAGGTTGCCAATCTGAAAGAGAACCCTATATCCCTATTCACGGTTTCCTGCCCGTTAACCAATTCTCTATCTATGCTAATGTGCTCCCTCCAATGCCATGCGCTCTGATCTTATGACTTAACCTTTTGTGACGTACCTTGTCAAGAGTTTTCTGGAAATCCAAATACAACACTTCTACTGGTTTCCCTCTATCCATTCTAGTTGAGATGTCCTTAAAAAACTCTGATAAATTGGCAGACATGATTTCCTTTCCATGAAGCCATTGACTGACTGAATGACCAGCAAAAAAAAGACAAAAATTCCACTATACCATATGGGACAGAGAATAGTCCAGGCTATTATCCTAGGGCCAGTCCAAAGTGATTCTTAACACCAGCTGGCTTCTTTAGTTGTTCCTTCTTCCTTTCATAGCCAGGTAACTTCTAGATCCTGAATGAACTTGCACAGTGAAGGTTACTCTGGACATCCCTGCCCTGAACCAAAGTAGCACAAATATTCGAGTCTCATTCAAATCCACACAAATGAGGTTTTTCAATCTGGGTGTGAGTTTCTGACCACAAACTGCATGGTGAACAATACAGGCTGTTTGTTTCAATCTCCTGCTCTCTTCTTCTCAAATCTTTGCACAATGTCTGTGAGGTTCAGTAATAGTTTTAGGAAAGCCTGCAACTCAATCTTACAATTGACTTTCTATGGACTCTTCCCCTCTCTCAGCACAGTGCCAAGGTAATATGAATAACATAGTCTTCTAGCCAGGTAGAAATGCCAATTAGCTTACCTTTAGACTCCCAATTTCATTCTCTCCTGAAATTATATTGACAGTTTGATGTGTAAATTTTACAAAACCTGACATTTCTACCAGGTCTTTGGAATTACAGTACTGTCAGTATAAATGCTTTTGCAATTGTCTACAAATGTGAAGATGTTGCACATTATTCTCAGTAAAATAATTGCCCCCCAACTTTCATCTTTAACACTTTTGTCACCCAGAAGCTGACAGCAGATTCAGAAGAGGTCAAATTACATCTTTAATTATACTGCTTTCCCTTAAACTCATAGTACTGAAACCTAACAATGATATCAATTCTTATTTTTAAAAAAAGCACTGCATTTAGAGATAACAAAGTGTAGAGCTGGATGAACACAGCAGGCCAAGCAGCATCAGAGGAGCAGGAAAGGTGACGTCTCGGGTCTAGACCCTTCTTCAGAAATGTCCCAATAGATTTCTATGAATAGGAGTGGCTTGATGCTGCATGACAGCCTTTTGTTCTATGTACAGAGCTTCAAATAGATGTACTGTGTTTAATGAATTATTTTTAGCTTATTTCAAGAATGATTTGCAAAATAATTCACTGTTCAGAATAGAATTGTTATTGAAGTACTTGGCCTAAACTTCTGCTGAACAACTGAGAATTATAGGAACAGCTTCATAATAGCTTTCAACTCCCTGTTTGAAATAGGCATCCCCATTGTAGTGGTAGCCATTATACTTGGTACTGGTGCCATGGGACGTCACAACTATGGACTTGGACCTTATGGAAGGAAAACCAACACTACTTTGGATGAATTGTAAGTGTGCATGCATGAATTTCAACAGCTCTTGTTCTGTTGGAAGGTTGTTGAATGGTAACTTTTAATTTCAGACAAATAGCAACACAAGTATTATTTTTGTCTAGTTATCATGTGCTCTTGTGAAAAATTTTCTCCATGCTGCATGTATGAATTTGCGAATGCATTTACAAAGGATGCATTAATAACCTTGTAACACAGTACATGTTGGAACATGAGATAGTAGGAACTGCCGATGCTGGAGAATCTGAGATAACAAGGTGTACAGCTAGATGAATACAGCAGGCTAAGCAGCATCAAAGGAGCAGGAAAGCTGACGTTTTGGGTCTGGACCCTTCTTCAGAATATTTTTAGACCCGAAACATCAGCTTTCCTGCTCCTCTGATGCTGCTTGGCCTGCTGTGTTCATCCAGCTCTACACCTTGTTATATCACATGTTGGAACATGCCCCTTCTGGTTTATTATTATTTAATTTAATTTTTAGTTAGGATATTGAAATTTATGGGAACTAACTAGTCCAATAGAAAATTAGATTAATTAATGTACATTCAATATTATAAAAGCTTTATCTTATAATTAGCTAAGCAATTCAGTTCCCTTTATCTACAACTTATTCTTAATCAAGTGAGGGAAACAGATGCAAGGAATACAAATTTTAGTGGTTTGCCTCAATTTGCTTTATCTAATTTCAAAGGTCCCAGTGCAGAGCTTTAAGTATCAGGAACCTGTATCAAACACTAATTACCAAATGGAAGTCACAACCATGTATTTCTCTACCTGTAAAAATTAAGAGAGACAAGTGTTGTGCCAGAACCAAAACAGGTTTTGTGACCCTTGGATGAGTTAAGGTTAGGTTTGCGATGGGAGAGGCAAACTGCTAGTTCTGGGTGAACACATTGGCTTCAGTTCCCTGAGCTAAGAAAAGAAAATAATTATATTTGGGCAGCCATTCCTGATTTCTGTTCACAGCATCATTGCATGGGTGAATGATCAGATTCAGTCGTGATGCATTGTTGGACAGTCATGTGAGCTGGGAGACAAATCTCTGTGTTGTTATCTCATAAATGATTGATCTTCTTGCTGGACCTACTCTAGTGATGATAGCTCAATGACATTGGGAAACATGGAATCAAATGCTGTAATAGGCTTGTTATGTAGTTTGATGTTACATTTCTTGAATGCATTCCTATGCATCCTCTTGGGATGGAGAGTTTCATTAAAGGTCCGACACAAATATCAATTTTTGTTCTTTTGTGCAAATAAAAAATATGTCTCGGATTTTAAGACCATCTTTTAATTCTTTTTGTTCTTTCCTCCTGCTTTTTAGCTGCTGGATCAACAATGACACAACTTTTTATGTTGCCGCAGTAGGGTATTTCTGTATAATGTTCCTTGTGAACCTTAGCATGTTTATTGTGGTGTTGACTCAATTCTGTCAAATAAAAAGCAAGCAGCACCATCAGAATGCACAGAAGAGCGTGTTACAAAACATCAGAAGTGTGGCCAGCCTCACATTCTTATTTGGAATCACATGGGGATTTGCCTTCTTTGCATGGGGCCCAGTAAACCTTCCATTTATGTACCTCTTCGCCATCTTCAACACTCTGCAAGGTACCAACTTCCATTTGTTTTACTGCCTCAGTTGAATGAGGACATCCTAGGAATTAAGAAATGATTCCATTCTTTTCTTTTTAATTTGTGCAGGAGCCTTCATCTTCATTTTTCATTGTGTAATCAAAGAAAATGTCCAGAAAGTATGGAGGAGGTATTTATGCTGTGGCAAGTTGATGTTGCCTGAAAATTCAGGTGAGATAATGTTTAAAAAAGCAGCTAGGGGCGTATTCACAATTACAGGTCAACCAACCCGACTGGATGGACCCCTCAGTGGAATGGTGTATCAGTGGGTGATTGAAAATGCTATGTAACCTCAGTTTCCCCAAGTATAGGAAGGGGCATTTTATTTCATTTATTTCATATAGTAGCCCAATACCACATGTATCAAACTAAGCAATAGCTATAGAATTCACCAAAGAAGTAAAAATTGAAACTTCTAGATTAACACTCAATGCCAGGCCTTGCATACAACTCTTTTTTTTCAAACAGCCTCACCTTTATGGAATTCTTTAGCACTGTGAAAGAATTAAATCCATTAGCTCAGAGGGTGAACTTTGCAGAAGGCAGACACTTAGAAAAAACGTGTGAAAAGAAGCCAGTGCAATAAACTCCACGTAAACAAGAAGATCTATTTCATGATAGCCACTCCTCTCACCATGTTTTGTACTCATTTATTTAGTAAAGTATTAAAGAGAACAACACTCATCTAACATACTGCCTTTGCACTTTACCAGAATGTTTTAGCCATTAGATGCTAAACCTGGAAATTGAAATGAGCAACTGGTTGATTATTTGCTGTCCAGCAGCGCAATGTAAATAGAAATACTCCTTAAATTCTTCCACTTCCAGCAGGTGCCTATCTTCCAAATTTAAAACAATTTCTCACCTCCGACCCTTTAAAATGCAAATACTGAAAATCTAAATAGAAGAAACCATTTTGATGATGCAGCAGGTCTATTGGCATCTAAACCTATCTTTTACTTGGCTCAAATGCCATGGGGTTGATTTTTCATGTGCTTTACCTGGTAATAGCAAAACAGTAATTGTCTCAATCTTCAGTATGTCAAAGAATCAAAGGTGTAATTTTGAACCAGGATAATAATGTAAAACACACAACAACAATTCATTCATCCATTAGACATTGCTCTCAATGTTTTAGTAGATGGTGGGTACTACACCATTTCACACCATTCTCCAAAGGCAAAATTACTTTAATGAAAATTCGTAAAGTTTTAAAAAAGGAATGGGAAGCATTTTACAAATGATTTTGTGGTAAAGCAAGGATCCATGTTTTAAAAGAGCACTGTTGATTATCCTACAGATTGGTGCATAACAGCAACAAAGAAGACAAAGAAGCTACAACCTCTAGTCCAAGGCATGTCTCTGTCCTCAACTTCCAACAACTCCTTACAGTCCACCTCCCCGTTTTTTCCAGTCCGCGACTACTCCTGTCACCCCAATGTAAATGGTGTGTATAACTCGTAAGATAAGTATCTAAGTCCAATGTTATTTGAATGAGATTTAATAAAATAACAGGCAGCAGCTTGTTGATTTTATGGTCATGCTATTATCTAGGAAGCAATGTCAGAAAGAGTGGTGCAATTGTAGCTTTCAAAAGGGAATGAGGTGTGTACATGAGAAGAAAAAATACTGCAGCAGTGACAAGCAAAGACCGGGGAAGTAGAACTATTTCAATATTTTTTTCCAAAATGGAGAGAGACAAAAATGCTATCATAGAATCTCTGTAGTGCAGAAAGAAGCCATTCAGCCTGTCAAGTCTGCACTGACACTCTGAAGAGCATCCCACCCAGACCCAACACACCCCCCCCCCCACCCCCCAACCAACCCCATCCCCATAAACCCACATTTCCCATGGCTAACCCACCTAGCCTGCACATCCCTGAACACCCCCAGGGCAATTTAACATGGCCAATCCACCCAACATGCAAGCATTTGGTCTGTGGGAGGAAACACACGCACTCACGGGGAAAACATGCAAACTCCACCCAAACGATCGCCCAAGGCTGGAATCAAACCCGGGTCCCTGGTGCTGTGAGGTAGCAGTGCTAACCACTGAGCCACCATATGTTGAATGGGCTTCCACCTGCAAAGCTATAATTCTTTAACTCAGATTCCAAAGCGATGTTGCCAGTTGCTTCACTCTAATGATAATAGGATCAGCAGTGGAAGGACCACAGACAAGCTAAAACCATTTTATCTTTCCTTTGCTCCACTACTCCCCAAATAAAAACATACAAAACCAATAGTGAAGATTTTGTTTTAAATTTGTTGTTGCTTACAAGTCTCATAAATGAGTTTTCTAAGAAAATCATGTAGCTAGTTGTTTTCTTTCCCTGTTTTGGTTATGCAGGGTGTTGGGGGAATTAAAACAGCCACGTCAGAAATAACCTACTCTGATTGGAGCCAGTTCAATGACAAGGCAACAAAGGTTCTGTTCAGCAAGGATTTTGCTGTGTTGGTGAATGAGAGAGGACTTGGGCAAAGGACCACCTCAGTGACAAAGCAACCCCACCTCTTTGCTGTGACCAATCACCAGCCTATGAACAGACCACTGACTTATGTTTTAGACTGTTGAGCATAGCTCCAACCTCAGGCCCTTCAAACAAATGGGCTGTAACTTGCCCAAAACCTCAATATGCTACTCAACTGTATATCCTGGTTTTCTTCAAGGAAAATGGAGAACCTTAGTGTTTGATATTTTTTACATGAATTCTCTGCTACTGTGAGAATTTCCCAGGAAGTTAATGTAAATATCATTTTCTATTCAAACTACGCAAGCAGACAAAACACATCATCGAAACAAAATACATTTTGCAGTTTCTGATTTTGATTTCAAAACCCAGAGGTTATAAATATATAAAAGGAAAATGTTTTGCTTTCATTACCATGCATTTATACACCAGTTATTCAAAATAACTGGGCCAGTGAATTGGGCTGTACAAATTTTCTGTTCTGTTCAGTTCACCATTCATTCAGCCTCATTACCTGAGCTATGTAAAGATCGAACTGTTGTTGAGCATTATTGCAGGCGAGCCTGGATCATTCTAGTTGCTGTTAATTAGGCTAATAAAATCGGATAGACCAAATTTCCAAAATGGAAAACTGCAGCAACTAACACTTCTTTACTGTAGAAATAAACAAAACAAAAGCCAAGTTTTATGGAAGTAGAACAAATCCCCAATGGCTTCGTTGGTTCACCAAAGCTCTTTTTTTGCTGCAAGATCCCCTAATGTTATGGTTGAAGAATTCAAAAAGGCTGGACTTGTACCTCACGCATCCAGTCAGAACAATCATTTTCACTTGAAATCTTCACAGACAATACTCCCTCTAAATTACTTCCTCAATTTGTGAACATCTGAAGTCTGTATCAATTTCCGAAACTGGAGGTCAATGCATCAGCATGGTGATTGGCGTGTGCAGCTTAGAGAGAGCATTGCTTGCAGGTTAGATTTCTTAAAGATTTAGCTGCAGTTCAACAGTGACATTACAGTTTTGAGTGTAGAGGTCTGGGTACAAATCCCACTCCAAACACTTAAGCACAAATTCAAGGCTGATGCTTCAGTGCAATACTGAGGAAATGCCACAATATCAATGATACAGTCTTTCAGATAAGACATGAAACCAAAGTGCAGTTTGCTATCTTAGGGAAGCAAAACAAAGCTCACAATGCACTAAGTGTAGGTGAGTTCTTTTAGAATCCTGGTTGATGTTTATCACTTCATTATCAACACTGAAGCAGGTCATTTGATCGTTATCACATTGTTTTTGTGTGGCAACAGTAGTTAAACTTCAGCTGTAAAACAGGTCAGGAACTACTGAGGTCCTGAACAAAGCTACATTAATGTGTACACCGAGAATGCTGGAGATACTCAGCAGGTCTCACAGCATCTGTCAAGAGAGAAGCGGCGTTAGCATTTCAAGTCCAGTGCCACTCCTCTTCTGATATCAGATTTTAGCATCCACAATATTTTGTGCCTATATAAGTGCATGTCTTTTTATTTCTAGAAAGCTTGATAAACACTTTAGCCCAGATATTCTAATGGCCACGGAGTCATTGGAGCAATGAGGACTGGATTTGTACATTGGGACCATGCAGAAACCCGATGCAGTTGATTCCATGGGAATTCCCTGAAAATCGGAAGATTCTGCGGGGTACTTCCCCTGTGTCAGGAACAAGCCTCTGCAGAATATGAAGGGTTCCACATTACTTACTTATGATTAATGGTTACTTACGTAAAGTTAGGAGATTAGTAACCTACTCTAACTCCTGGGTTCAAATTGGTTATGATGGTAATCAGAATATCTGGGCCTTTGATTTCAATGTGTGATACATGCACACAACAAAAATTCATGGGTAAAGATTTATCATGAAAATGTGTGGGTGATATGGGCTTACAAGCAGCTTCAAATACTAATCGTTCTCATTCGTTGCAGTATCGTGTTATTTTTTATTTTGTGATACTAATTTACTTGTTGCAGCTGTGATGCAGTTTGTCTCATTACAAATACTTTTTGCTTCTGATTCCATTTCTATAGGTGCTAAGCTTTAAAGTTGCAACCTCACATCCCTCAAGCATGTAAGTTCATCTGCTTTGCCTGGATTTCATAAAAATCTCGTGATTACTGCAAGAGACAGTGTCTGACGTCCTTCCAGGAGTCATTAGGATGGAATTTTAACATTGAAATGTAAATACATAGTTGTCCAAAGTAATAATTCAAATTTCAACCAGTCATTTGATCAGACCTTTCAAAAACTGAATAAAAATGTTGTTTTACCAAACACATGTCTGACTGGCTGGGCACTCTCTTTTAGAAAGTATGCCCTTTAAATTTAATTTCTATGGAGTAGGAATTCTTTTCCTTCATTCATGAGATCTGGGCATCACTGGCCAGTCCAGTATTTATTACCCACCCCTAACTGCCCAGAGAGCAGTTAAGTTCATTGCTGTGGGTCTGTTGTCATATGTAGGCCAGACTAGGTAAAGACAACAGTTTCTTTCCCTAAAGGACATTAGTGGACCAGATGGATTTTTCCTTGATGCTCGACAATGGTTTTATGGTCATCAATTGACTCCTAATTCCAGAAAACTGTTGAATTCAAATGGTGATCTGCCATGGCAGTATTGGAACCCAGGTCCCCAAAACATTAACAGGATCTATGGATTAACAGTCTAGCAATAATACCACTAGGACATCACTTCCCCACTGAAAAGAATCACCTCTCAAAGAATCAAGAATTGTGCTCAACGTAAAAATTCTAGAAAGTTGTGATTTGTTTACCTGAACAGTACTGAATAGATAAATGCAGTTTGAAGGTGTTCATGGTTTTTATAAACCAGAAAAGGTTAATGCCACACCAGCTAGTGGGCTGAATCAGAGTTTGGGAACAGTGCCCTTGGCTAACGGAGAAAAATCAGCTGATTACCATCCCTGACCTTTGACCAAAATGTTGAGAGGAGGGTTTGGGTGCTGTCAGGATATAGCTCAGTAGCAACGTTGCCCACATTTAGGTAGTTATACCACCACTATTGTTATTCACACAAGAACTGTTGCACTTTGTAAAGGACTGCTGGTGCCTGTGACACTTGACCTAGCACAAGTCATGGTAGATAAGGGGAAGAAAGAGTGAAAACTGAGTTTGAAGGGAGAAGCTAATTTTCACCTCTACAAAAATGTGTTAACTTGAGCAGTCTCCACTGTTATAGGTGTCCATTGCAATACTTTATGGAGTCTCAGTTCATGTCAACACTATTTCCAGACTTGTACAGATGCATGATACTAGCCTCTTATAGCAAGGGAGCAATGAAAATAGCAGGTAAAGGCATTAGATCAAGTCCATAGAAATGAAAATTTGGTGAGACATAAAAAGGGCAGCCAACTGATGGTCACCCATCTAACACAATCGCACAAAGCTACCGTCTACCCCAACTCCATTACCTAAATCCTGACATTAGCCTGTTGGAAGTTAACACTGACAAAGTAGGTAATTAATCTAAATGCACTGGAATAGTGCACAAATAAAATTAAGCAGAATTAGTGTTTGACATTTTTTCTTATTCTATCGGCATTAGCTCTAAGGTTTTTGGATCTAGACACTTTGTAAAAGTCATTTAACATGATCAAATTCTGTTCTTTCACACCCACTACACTCCCTTGACTTCAGCCGTTATCTTTAAATGTATTAATTATCACCATAATAACTGTAATTTTACTGAAATCGGACTAAACTTTGCTTAAAGAGAAGTAGTAAAAGGGAGGGAGATGGTGATGTCAGATTGATGCAGTAGTCAGTAGCTCCAAAATGGCTTTGAATTTTTTTTTATATTTAATTGCTTATCAGCATGTTGTCATGACTGTCAGCAAACTATCAGTGATTCAAAAAGCATTATAAAATTAACATTATATGAAATTGGGGAGGGGTGTATATTTTAATCATCCTCGCCCCCTCCTACATCTTTCCCCATCACAAACAGGCAGGAGATAAGTGGGACAACAAGGTGTAGAGCTGGATGAACACAGCAGGCCAAGCAGCATCAGAGGAGCAGGAAAGCTGACGTTTCGGGTCTACACCGTTCTGAATTTACAAAAGCTGACTCTAACCTACTGTGACTATGTCAGTTCTAACTGCAGTGGACTTGGTACGTTTGCAAGTAACAGATTCTGTAGAGGTCATTGAGTAATGATAATATACTGATGAAACTTGGTTTCCCCTAATTCTTTGATTCTGTCACTGGCCCCTGCTGTGCTAAAATAAGATAGGTGATGCTCAAATTGACATGTTAATGCTTTTTAGAGTAGTACGTGTGAAACAGGAGAAACAGGCTGTTTCCTGACTCCGTCAAATAAATATTCTGTCAACTTTGTCCTATGATTCTACCCAGTCCATCCATTCACCCAATCCTGAGTGATGATCTGAGTCCATTGGTCCCCAATGTTTCTAGATGCTGGTGACTGTCCCCAGTGCCCTGTGGTCTTCTACTGTTGGTTTTGCCATCCAGCAATCATTTGACTGAAAAATTTAAGCAAAAATAAAAATGATAATGTTTTATTGGTAAATTTGATAGGATCTCTCCATTTCAGGTATTTCTGGGCTCAGCCGTCCCCTCTCTGTCAAATATAAACCTACTCCCTTTACACTTTCCACTAAGTATTGGGGTTCATGCACTAAATCAAACTGCATTACATAATATCACTACCTATATTGGAAACTAATTCCATTCAACAGTGGGACACTGACAATATCTCAAATGGCATGACCAAATGGATGCTAAATCGAGTGGTTACTAAACTAACACTAACTCAAATTCTATTACTAAAAAAAGTGATTTAAAAGTGGAGCGATATGCCATTCATTAATTTGTTTGTGCCTTGTAATGATGCATACCTTTGATAAAATAAAGTAAGACATCAGATTCTGCCTAATGTACAACTGTCTGTAATTTTATTTTCTTTTTAATTTAAGGACTTTTGATGGTAATACTGACAGTAGAAGCCTGAGGTATTCACCCAGTTATTTTCTAAACAATCAGTGGTTCTTGGAATGGAAGCTGGACTGTGTTACGAACCCTCCTGATTTAAAGGACAAATGTTGAGTGAGGCAGTATTCAACCACCCTGTCTGAAATGGAAACTAAGCAATCATTCACTTTCAGAAGTTCTTAGAAATATTTTAAAATCTATAGATCACACAACTGTATCCATCTAATGTAACACAGAATTGAAGTTAATAGCATTTGCAAAACTAACAAATATACTTTGGAGGCTTAAGATCTGTTCTGTACTTGCAAAGAAAATTTTGAAGTGAAGATTTGATTGTGTTCTTATGGTTAGAAATATTTCAACATAATGATCCTGTGGGTACGAAGATCATATGAATGTCAATACAATACTATTTAAAACACAGCTTAATGCAGCTTGTATCAATTGTAATGAAAATTTAGACTAAAGAAAAAGCAGGTTTCCAGTAACTTATTGCAACTGATTTTATCGATGAAAGGTAGCATTCCTATTTTATCGTAGTGATTGTTTTACTGAAAAGTGACCTCTTAGAAATTGCTATTCTTCATTCAAGCTTTACTGAAGTTTAACACAGTTGCAGATGTATTGCACAAGGCTTTAAATATATGTGAAGATAATCATGTTATGACGTGATACTAAATTTATTTTATTGCCTAATATTTATTATTTTAAACCTTTTTTGAATGCCTGAAGAATTGAGTGGCATCTGTGTTTTCTAACTACATTGGAGTCTAACTAATTATGTCAAGTAGTGCTGCCATCTAAACATCCAAAACTGAATTGATGTTTCTACAAGGTCCACAGCATTCCCATGCACACAAATTACTCTTTAACAGCTTCCTTCAACACAACTTTGAACAGAGTCCATGAATAGAGACGATACTTGAGAAACAAACTTTGTTAGCTTTGTGTTTGTTAATGGAAAATTGCCCTCATACATTTTAATGCACTGGATTATTTGAAATTTAGGGTTGATTATCGAGATGCCCAATCCAAAATGTTACATTGAGTGACAGAGGACTATCCTGTCCATTCTGAAACAAGTAACAATGACATTTTTTTTCCACATAATTTGAAATCATACAGCACAGAATAAGGCTTGTGTGTCTATACCATAAAGTATGGTACCTTCACGATCATTCTATTAATTGGAGCTTATAAAAATATAAGGGAAGACAATGCATGACATATATTGTCATTTCAAGTTTATGTTTTTCCTACTAATATGGAGTGTTATCTTGGTTTATCATTTACATACATGAAGAAAATGACGTAGTTCAGTCCCACAGTTGTAAATAGGTATAGCAATGTTTAGCATACTGTATATATTACAATAGTAAGATACTACTTTTAGAAAAATTGCTATTTGCTTCATAAACACACAAGAATGTTAAAAACATGGAAAAGTCCTTTAATCCATGCAACCTACATTCACACTATATCCTAGGCTTTCACTAGCAAGGACATTTAAAACTCCATGTGGCACAGATGAGTACACATCCATATTATTCATTACTTTAAGGGGATAATAATCCACGTAAGTAACCACCATAATTTTGCATATCTCATTCATTTTCTGATTACATGACAATATCCATTACTACAAATTTACATACAAAATGCCATGACGGTTGTAATTGCAAAGACTACATAAACAAGCTGCAAAAATAACACACAGTAATTTATTTTGTACAGATCTCAACCTAACATCTTTTTGTTTTCATTCCAATAAGATTGCTTCTACTGACTTTGGAAGCTGTGTGTTGCCAGCTCAGGTTAAAGGCTATTATGGCTAGTTAGCCTCTTTTTCTTCCAATTTTCCTAGTAAGTTGTGTGTTATGTTGTGTCAAGCTGTCCTTTCTCTGAACAAAGAATCTGAAGGAACAGAAAAAAATAACAACAGTTGAGCTTCAGTCCTGTTGTTTGCACTGAGTGCTCATGCATGTTCAGAGGAAAGCACTTGTATTTATATAGCACTTTCATAATATCTTGCAAAACATTTTAGAAGCATTGAAGTACTTTTTGAAATGTTGTCACTGTCAGACAAGTGTTGTGGTCCTAACTTGGCTGCAAGTGGACACAATATGGACAAAGACAGTAAGAACTGCCGATGCTGGAGTCTGAAATAACATGGTGTGGAGCTGGAGGAACACAGCAGGCCAGGCAGCATCAGAGGAGTAGGAAGGATCCCGACCCGAAACGTCAGTTTTCCTGCTCCTCTGATGCTGCCTGGCCTGCTGTGTTCCTCCAGGTCCACACTGTGTTACAACATGAACAAATTTGTGTTTCTTCCACAATCAATCGCAGAAATATTATTTTTTAAAATTAGGATAAGGCAAACTTAAAAACCTTCTTGTTTGAAAGCACAGAAAGTCTGCATCGCGCATTGATTTTTTTTTTTTTAAACAAACCAGTACAGGTTCTTTTTCATTTAATTGTCCCATTCTTGAAGTGATCTCTTAGAAACGCTCATACGCTGAAACGCTGGAGGGTAATGACTCGATGGGGTCGATATGCCCTTACCAGGGTCCACAACGTGTCACAAAATATCCAGACATGGATTTATAAAACTGAATAAGTTGTGAACTACTAGTAAAGTTACAGTATGTTTTCAGTCTTAAATCCCATCTGATTTTGTTCTTTAATACAATAATACCCATATCTGGAAATAGCACTTTTTTACTATTCTTTTACAAATTGATTTACAGTACTTATTGCATGTAGTAGACACCTTTCATACATTTTGTACTTTGATCTGATGTATGTATACTTTGTTTATGTCGACATGAAACAGTCAGAAGTCTGATTTTTAAAGGGAAGGTCCAAGCAGAATGGAATGCTTTTAGGTTGATTCAGTTACAAGGAAAGATTTTCATGGCTTTCATCTGTTCTAGTCTCTCCAACTGCAGTATTGGGATTTGTATTTTTCATTTTCATTTTCTAAAAATTTTAAAATGACAAGCAGCATCTTTGCAAGTTCCTCTGGTAAAATATTGTAGAGCTGAGAATCATGCAGAGCCAAGCAAGACCACATGACTTCTCCCATGTCGGGTGATGGTATGGTCTTACACACTTTCATAGATTGATATGAATTTTCAACCGTTATCAAATACAGGAAGTTCTCCCCACTGCATCTGAGCTAAAAATGTTTACTTTGTCAGTTGTAGGCATATCAACTGAATTGACTGATCCATGCACATTATACTTGGAGCTTTCTAGTTTGTTCCCCAAATAAGTAACAAATATGGAAGTTTTATACTTAATTGCAACATCAAAATGCCTTGACATTGCTTTACATAGTCAATAGTTATCTGTAGGAGAGTAAGGAAGTATTAAACTTACAAGATGAAGGGATAGCAAGTTCTGTGAACAAATATAGAATTATCTCAAAGGGAGTCATTTTGCACTTGGGCAATAGTGTAAAATGTGCAATAATAAATCAGCCACCTGAAATGAATCTCTCAAGCATTATTTCTGTTTAACTAACTGGAAGTGAAAATTGGGAGAGATCGACATCAAGGTAGATATAGAGGAGGTAGCTGGGTGGTAAAGTCAATATAGTAGTTAGTTTGATCGTAACCACAATGTTTGATATTATTTTCAATGATTTACAGATAGTTATCTGAACGAGTGATAATATTACTTATGGCTAAGTGTTATAACTAAGTAGTAATTATATTGTCTGTTACAGCAAACAATGGTAGAGTGATTTCAATTTGATTAGACCAATCCAGCAGTCTAGATGATACTGTACCATAATGCCAATCAAATGCCTCAGGGTTAGAGTTGTTTTACATCTTATCAGTATCCGTGATGTATCTTCTAGATTGTATTATTGTCAATCCATTGCAACTGGAAGCTTAACCATTATTACAAGATATCAGAAAATTGTACTTTTCCAAGAATAAATATACTAATTAAATGATAGATCTGTTTAAAACATTTTATGCTGCAAAGGACAAAGTTAGTCAATAAGATATAATGCACTAGATAAACATGTGTGACTTTTCACATCCAACACTGGTTCATTTTATGTCATTGAATTAATTACACTTTATCATGTTGCTACCTGTAAACCTACAGAGTTCAGCCTTTTAACCACATCATCCATCGACCACTTTATGCTGCTGTGATTTCAAGATAAAGCAGCCCACTTGATTGGCACCCCATTCACCACCTTAAAGACTCAGTTTCTCCATCACTGACATATAGTGTGTATCAGCTATGAGATGCACTGCACAGGGAAGAAGAACCACCAAGCCCCAAGGAAGAGAATGTGAGAAGGAAGTGAAAGGAATTGCAGGAAGCAGGTATCCTAAACCCTATGGGCCTGAATGCCATGTCACACAATGGATTGAGAGCCTCTGCTTCAAACTACTTCCCCTTAGAATCTGTTAATCCTAGAATCCCTACAGTGTGGAAACAGGCATTCAGCCCAATGAGTCCACAGCAACGGTGTGAAGGGCATCCCACCCAAATCCATCCCCCACCCTATACTGCTTCCAGGATGAGGTGTTCCATTCCAAGACATCCTCTTACTTTCGGGACCATAATTTCCCCTCCCCTGTAATTAAGGATGCCCTCAACCACATCTCCTCCATTTCCCCCACTCCTGCCCTCAAAAACCCTCCCCAGAACAACAGTAAGAATAGAATCCCCTTAGTCCTCACGTACCACCCTACCAACCTCCAGATCCAACGCACTATCCTCCCATGTTTCTGCCACCTACAATCAGACCCCACCACCAAAAAGATATTTCCCTCCCCAGCTCTGTCTGCTTTCCTCAGGGTCTGTTCATTTCGCAACTCCCTCGTCAGCTCTACACTCCCCACCAATTTCTCCACTACACCTGGCACCTTTGCCTGCAACTGCCCTTACATCTCCCCTCTCACCTCCATCCAAGGCCCCAAACAATCGTTCCAGATCTGGCAAAGGTTCACCTGCACCTCATCCAACCTGATTTATTACATCCGTTGTTCCGATGCGGTCTCCTCTATACTGGGGAGACCAAATGCAGACTCAGGGACCCATTCATGAAGTGTCTGTGCTCTGCATGCAAAAACCAACCCCCCCTTCCAGTTGCTATCCATTTTAATTCCCCCTCCCACTCCCCTGACAACATGTCCATCCTTGGCCTCCTCCACTGTCAGAGTGAGGCCAAACATAAACTGGAGGCACAACGCCTGATATTTCACCTGGGAAGCTTACAGCCCAATGGCCTTAATGGTGGCTTCACCAGCTTAAAAAAAATCCTTCCACCCCCAGCCTTATCCCGTGTCCAGCCCTTCCCCTCCTGACCTGACCTAACCTATCCATCTTCCTACTCCCCTATCCGCTCCACCTTTCCCATGGACCAATCACAATATCCCCCTAACTCCCACCTATCACCACCTCACCCAACCTTCCCGCAGCCCCAACCCCTCCCTCTGTTTACTTCTGGGCTCCCCTCCCCCTCCCCAGTTCTGATGATGGGTTTCAGCCTGAAACATTAACTTACCCGCTCCTCTGATGCTGTCTGACATGCTCTCCTTTTCCAGCCTCACACCTATACACTCTGGCTTCCAGCTTCTGCAGTCCTTATTGTCTCGAAGTGTTTTACCTGATGTGGTAATATTTATGCTATCTGCCATAATGTTAAAAAAAAACTATTCATGTAGAGTACGGTATTGAAGTATTCAACTGACATCAATTACAATGACCGTTATGTAAAAAATATTACATTCCTCAGACATGTGTGTCTCTGGCTAATGCTATGCTATTAGTTACAACAGAAAGGAAAATTTCCAGTAGAGTGTCATGCTTCAAGGAGATCGAAGATAAAATGGAGAATGAGATCTTTGTTTCCTCTGGTCACATGCTATCATGCAGCGATGACACTGTGAGCATATTTCTTAAAGACATAATGACCACCAAACATAACACAACAGATACTGTTGCTGATTCACAGTCCTAGTTCCCAGGTGGAAACTACAGGGTAGCTGAGGGTGGTAATTCTTCAGTGCTGAGTTGATTTGTGTCATGATAAAACACCCCGGGAAAGTCGTTACTGTTCCTAATATGTCTAACTCGACTTACACAAGTCCAGTTGCAAAATTTTAAATTGGGCCTCATCTCAAAAATATAAATAAAGTACTAATTGAGTGGATAATCTGGACAAGGACAGACCCCATTTTAGTTTTGACAGTCCTTAAGTATATTTTATGATAGATCTGTACGTTTTTCCTGCGTCCCAGAGATATCTAAAAACAATGAGGACAACTATTTAAAAAAAAACAATTAATTTGTTTACACTTCAGAGAATTGCTGGCAGCTGAGCTTTCACCTTGTTTATGTTGAATAAGATTCAAGCTATTAAGGTACGAGTTCGCTTATACTTTCATGTTCACGTGTCACTGTTAAATACTGCAGATTTTGAACGTTTGACAGAGGAAGGTGCTTGGAAGGGTACAAAGTCACCAGCATAGAGTTATATCATCACCACCACATTGATCTCTGGTCATTCAATGTGGAGTCTGTAATGGGACTGGCCTTTCGTAAAATAAGCTGTTTATTCAGGCCAAGAAACACCCTATTTCAAATTGTGTCTATGTTTTTAAAACAAAATTGTTTAAAATAATTGATTTAATTGAGTAGGGTTAATATTATAATGATTCCATATCATTTCTTTCAATATTAATGCAACCTTTACTACTAGTGTGTCAGATCAAAAACCAATCGACCTAGGGAGATGGGAGGTTTTTTTTTGCATAATTGCAAATCAAAATTCAATTTACCCAACCTTTGCTATGTGATGGTTTTAACCCTAGATCCTATTCACTGCGATAGGAATATTTATTTGCCACAGTTATCTGATGTGATTATGAAATAATTCAGTATTGTTTGATGGTATTTAAACACCAAAGAAAAATATACATGGCATTGTTTAACTAGACTATTAAGAGAGTACTGAGCTAGCAATAATCAGATTAACTGCCCATTCATGACTAGTTGGTGCATCTAAGGCAATCAATGTGGTTTGTCATATTATATACTGAAAAATGGTTTCTGTAATAAATAGTTTCAAAAAAGTGGTAGGTGGCATTCATCACCAACATATCTGCCAGAGTAAGTTACATGCAACACGGCTCTGCCATCATCTTAGAGTTAATTTATCATAGCCTGAGCAAGATATGCAAAGTGATGAATTAAAGCTGACAACTTAAAACCAGATACTCACTTGTTTAATTGTACCTCATCTGCTGCATTTTGCTTTTTGCAAACAGTGACTTCTTTATGAAGCTCAGTTAATTCTTATGTTCTGGTAGCTTCTTGAAATGGCCTTTAGGTGTCAGCCACAGCTTGATGGCAACATTCTTGTCTTTGAGAGATAGTAGGAACTGCAGATACTGGAGAATCTGAGATAACAAGGTATACAGCTGGATGAACACAGCAGGCCAAGCAGCATCATAGGAGCAGGAAGGCCGATGTTTCAGGCCGAGACGCTTCATCAGAAATGGGGTAGGGGAAGGGGATTCTGAAATAAATAGGGAGAGAGGGGGAGGCGGATTGAAGATGGATAGAGGAGAAGATAGGTGGAGAGGAATCAGACAGGTCAAAGAGGCGGGAATGGAGCCAGTAAAGGTGAGTGTAGGTGGGGAGGTAGGGAGGAGATAGGTCAGTCCAGGGAGGACGGACAGGTCGAGGGGGCGGGATGAGGTTAGTAGGTAGGAAATGGGGGTGCGGCTTGAGGTGGGAGGAGGGGATAGGTGGGAGGAAGAACAGGTTAGGGAGGCGGGGACGAGCTGGGCTGGTTTTGGGATGCGGTAGGGGGAGGGGAGATTTTGAAGCTTGTGAAATCCACATTGATACCACTGGGCTGCAGGGTTCCCAAGCGGAATATGAGTTGCTGTTCCTGCAACCTTCGGGTGGCATCGTTGTGGCACTGCAGGAGGCCGAGGACGGACATGTCGTCTGAGGAATGGGAGGGGGAGTTGAAATGGTTCGTGACTGGGAGGTGCAGTTGTTTATTGCGAACCAAGCGTAGGTGTTCTGCAAAGCGGTCCCCAAGTCTCCGCTTGGTTTCCCCGATGTAGAGGAGGCCACAGCGGATGCAGTATACCACGTTGGCAGATGTGCAGGTGAACATCTGCTTGACGTGGAAAGTCTTCTTGGGGCCTGGGATGGGGGTGAGGAAGGAGGTGTGGGGGCAGGTGTAGCACTTCCTGCGGTTGCAGGGAAAAGTGCCGGGTGTGGTGGGGCTGGAGAGGAGTGTGGAGCAGACAAGGGAGTCACGGAGAGAGTGGTCCCTCCAGAAAGCAGATAAGGGTGGGGAGGGAAAATTGTCTTTGGTGGTGGGGTTGGATCGCAGATGGCGGAAATGTCGGAGGATGATGCGTTGGATCCGGAGGTTGGTGGGGTGGTACGTGAGGACGAGGGGGATTCTTTTTTGGTTGTTATTGCGGGGACGGGATGTGACGGATGAGTTGTGGGAAATGCGGGAGACACGGTGGAGGGCGTTCTCGACCACTGAAGTGGGGGGAAGTTGCGGTCCTTGAACAACGATGACATCTGAGATGTACGGGAGTGGAATGCCTCATCCTGGGAGCAGATGCAGCGGACGCGAAGTAATTGGGAATAGGGGATGGCATTTTTGCAGGAAGGTGGATGGGAGGAGGTGTATTCTAGGTAGCTGTGGGAGTCGGTGGGCTTGAAATGGATATCGGTTTCTAGTTGGTTGCCCGAGATGGAGACAGAGAGGTCCAGGAAGGTGAGAGAGGTATTAGAGATGGTCCAGGTGAACTTAAGGTTGGGGTGGAAGGTGCTGTTGAAGTGGATGAACTGTTCGAGCTCCTCGTGGGAGCACGAGGCAGCGCCGATACAGTCATCAATGTAACGGAGGAAGAGGTGGGGTTTAGGGCCAGTGTAGGTACGAAAGAGGGATTGTTCCATGTAACCTACAAAGAGGCGGGCATAGCTTGGGCCCATGCGGGTACCCATGGCCACCCCCTTTGTGTGTAGGAAGTGTGAGGAATTGAAAGAGAAGTTGTTGAGGGTGAGGACGAGTTCGGCTAAGCGGATGAGGGTGTCAGTGGAGGGGGACTGGTCGGGCCTGCGGGACAGGAAGAAGCAGAGGGCCTTTAGGCTATCTGTATGGGGAATGCAGGTGTATAGGGACTGGACGTCCATGGTAAAGATGAGGTTTTGGGGACCGGGGAATTGGAAGTCCTGGAGGAGGTGGAGGGCGTGGGTGGTGTCACGGACGTAGGTAGGGAGTTCCTGGACCAAGGGGGCGAAAATGGAGTCCAGATAGGTAGAGATAAGTTCGGTGGGGCAGGAGCGGGCGGACACAATGGGTCGAACAGGGCAGTCAGGTTTGTGGATTTTGGGAAGGAGATAGAAGTGGGCGGTGCGGGGTTGGGGAATGATGAGGGTGGAGGCTGTGGGTGGGAGGTCACCTGAGGTGATGAGGTTGTGGATGGTTTGGGAGATGATGGTTTGGTGCTCGGGGGTGGGGTCCTGATCAAGGGGGCGGTAGGAGGAGGTGTCAGAGAGTTGGCATCTGGCCTCGGCGATGTAGAGGTCAGTGCGCCATACTACAACTGCACCTCCCTTGTCCGCGGGTTTTATGGTGAGGTTGGGATTGGAGCGGAGGACTGCACGTTCTGCGGGGGAGAGGTTGGAGTGGGTGAGAGGGGTGGAG